TCCGGCCTTCATAGGTGCTCGCTAACAGCACTTGCCCCTACACTCTGTTAAGGCTATATGGGGGATCTTTGTTTTATCTTTGTGTGTGTGTGTGAGTGTTGCTGTGGGTATGTGTGAGTGTTGCTGTGTGAGTGTTGCTGTGAGAGTGTGTGTGTGAGAGTGTGTCAATGTGAGAGTGTGTCAATGTGAGAGTGTGTCAATGTGAGTTTGTGTGAAAGAATGTGCGAGTTGTGGAAAGGGTCTGTGTGAAAATGAGCATCCGTGTGAGTTTGAGTGCGTGTGAGTGTGTGTGTGTTTGTGAGAGTGTGAGAGTGTGTGAGTGTGTGAGAGAGTGTGTGTGGGTGTATGTGTGTGAGTGTGTGTGAGAGAGAGTGTGTGTGGGTGTGTGTGTGTTGTGAGAGTGTGAGAGTGTGAGAGTGTGAGACTGTGTGAGTGTGTGAGAGAGTGTGTGTGGGTGTATGTGTGTGTGTGTGTGAGAGAGTCTGTGTGTGAGTGTGTGTGTGAGAGTGTGTGTGAGAGAGTCTTCTCGGCCACGGTCATTCCCTCCCTTCTCTACGCTTGCGAAACGTGGACCCCCCTGGTGGAGCATCTTCGCCGGTTGGAAACATTTAGGCTGGCCTGCCTACGATCCATCTTGGGTTTAACCAGGCTGGATTGTGTGAGGAGCTCACAAATCCTTGAAAGATCTGGGCAAAGTCCCATCAGTGAGCTCCTCCGGCAGGCAAGGCTGCGTTGGCTGGGTCATGTAGCCCGCATGCCCAGCCACCGCATGCCTAAACAGCTTTTGTTCGGCCGGATCGAGGGGGCTAGACGGGCGCGGCACGGGCTGGAGAAGAGATGGAGTGATGTGGTACAGGAGGACGTGGAGCTGAGTGGACTTGCCGATGACTGGTACCAGCGGTGTCAAGATCGGCCTCAGTGGAGGAGGCTCGTGAAGGACGCTACTGGGCAGTTGGAGGCAGTCGCCCTCCAACAACAACGGAGGGCGGAGGAGCGACGCTCACAACAACGAGCGGAGCGCCGGGTGGCTAAAGCACAGCAAGTTGGTACAGTAGGGGGCACAGGTGGTGCATCAGCCAGTCATCTCGGTCATCTCGGTCAGTCGACCCGTGGCACCTGGGTCTGCCCCGTGACCTCCTGCCAGCGGGCGTTCGACACTTCACGTGGCCTCAAGGTGCACTTGGCCTGGCACAAGCATCGTGGTGACGTCACCGCCACTTAGTGGCGAATGGCGGTTGTTGTTGTTGTTGTTGTGAGAGAGTGTGTGTGGGTATGTGTGAGAGTGGGGAGCGGTAGTGTAGCGATTAGCGCGCTGTGCTCCGACACCTTTCACATGCAGATCACTCGCACACAAAGCCACGATCCCCTCCTGGTGCCACAGCGGGGAGCGACGGCGTGTGGGGGGGGAGGGGGTGCTGCTGATCACGTGGGGGGTGGTGGTGCTGATCACGTGGGGGGGGGGGGTGGTGCTGATCACGTGGGGGGTGGTGGTGGTGCTGATCACGTGGGGGGCGGTGGTGGTGCTGATCACGTGGGTGGTGGTGGTGGTGCTGATCACGTGGGTGGTGGTGGTGGTGCTGATCACGTGGGGGGCGGTGGTGGTGCTGATCACGTGGGTGGTGGTGGTGGTGCTGATCACGTGGGTGGTGGTGGTGGTGCTGATCACGTGGGGGGTGGTGGTGCTGATCACGTGGGTGGTGGTGGTGGTGCTGATCACGTGGGGGGTGGTGGTGGTGCTGATCACGTGGGGGGTGGTGGTGGTGCTGATCACGTGGGTGGTGGTGCTGATCACGTGGGGGGCGGTGGTGGTGCTGATCACGTGGGGGGGGGGGGGGGTGCTGCTGATCACGTGGGGGGCGGTGGTGCTGCTGATCACGTGGGGAGCGGTGGTGGTGCTGATCACGTGGGTGGTGGTGGTGGTGCTGATCACGTGGGGGGTGGTGGTGGTGCTGATCACGTGGGGGGGCGGTGGTGGTGCTGATCACGTGGGGGGTGGTGGTGGTGCTGATCACGTGGGTGGTGGTGCTGATCACGTGGTGGTGGTGCTGATCACGTGGGTGGTGGTGATGGTGCTGATCACGTGGGTGGTGGTGCTGATCACGTGGAGGGCGGTGGTGGTGCTGATCACGTGGGGGGTGGTGGTGGTGCTGATCACGTGGTGGTGGTGGTGCTGATCACGTGGGTGGTGGTGCTGATCACGTGGGTGGTGGTGCTGATCACGTGGGGGGTGGTGTGGTGCTGATCACGTGGGTGGTGGTGGTGGTGCTGATCACGTGGGTGGTGGTGGTGCTGATCACGTGGGGGGTGGTGGTGATCGTGATCGTGATCCATGGTGGTGTGCCATGGGCTGTGCTAGAGTCATCAGCTGTGTGCATATCGAGCGAGTACCTGCCTGTGTGTATGTAGCAGGGTGAATGTATATCCACATAACCGGGATGCAGAGGGAACTCAAGCAAGCCTGTGACACGCCGTGTCGTGCAGGGAGAGGTGCGGGGAGCTGGGGGGGGAGGCGACGAGTGACGACGCTACCCTGGACTTGCCCCAGGCAAGGGGCTGCTGGAGTCAGGACGGACCGAGTGCAGATGTCGGGGTCCAGAGTGGATCGCTGCGGGCGGGAGTGGCACAGCGGCAGCCTGGACGGAGAAGCTTCGGAATAAAACGAGCACACCTGTCCCTCCACATATACACACAAGTAGTTGTCTAACTCATCCCATCAGCCACACGTCATTACATTCATTCATCGGTTCGATAAAAGCACAACTCTGGATTGAACCGTCCCGTTGATCCTCGCGAACCCTGTCCGCCCCCCCCTCCCCCCCCGCGATTCCCTGGGAGGGCGGCGGCTGGCAGCGAGGGCACCGAGTGAGCGCGCTAATTGGTGCAGAGTCAAGGGGTGGCACCGACAGCTGATGCAGACACCTGTCCTGTGGTGGGGCACGTGGGTGGCGGGGTGGTTGGTGCCGCACGGGGGGTCTGCCGCCTCGCGGGGGAGGCATCTGCTTTGCCAATGAAGCTAAATGCTGGATGCTGATGAGCGAGCGAGCAGCTGATTGGGGGTCGGCCCGCTCTGATCGCCGGGGGCTCCTGCGGAGTGAGACTCAATGGCGGGTTTGGGAAACCGTGAACCCTCCACACCATCATACATCACACCATCATACATCCCACCATCACACACCCCTCCCCCCATCACATAGCCCCCAACTCACCATCGCACACTCTCTGTATCCATCACACATCCACACACACACCAACTCCTCCACCACCCTCCCTCCCTCCCTCCGTGGGGGTCACGCTCACACGTGATGCCGCGCCACTCGCACACTCCGGGGGGGGAGGGGGGGGCACGGCCCCCGCGCTCAATCCCCCCACTGCTTGTGACAGCCGCTCATACTCACACACACATACACACAGACTCATACACATACTCATACACACACAGACTCACACATAGACTCACACACAGACACATACACACACACAGACTCATACACACAGACTCATACACACACACAGACTCATACATACACACAGACTCATACATACACAGACTCATACATACACATACACAGACTCATACACACACAGACGCATACTCACACACACATACACACACACAGACTCATACACACACAGGCTCATACACACACAGACTCATACACACACAGACTCATACACACACAGATTCATACACACACACAGACTCATACACACACAACAACCGCCATTCGCCACTAAGTGGTGGTGACGTCACCACGACGCTTGTGCCAGGCCAAGTGCACCTTGAGGCCACGTGAAGTGTCGAACGCCCGCTGGCAGGAGGTCACGGGGCAGACCCAGGTGCCACGGGTCGACTGACCGAGATGACCGAGATGACTGGCTGATGCACCACCTGTGCCCCCTACTGTACCAACTTGCTGTGCTTTAGCCACCCGGCGCTCCGCTCGTTGTTGTGAGCGTCGCTCCTCCGCCCTCCGTTGTTGCTGGAGGGCGACTGCCTCCAACTGCCCAGTAGCGTCCTTCACGAGCCTCCTCCACAGAGGCCGATCTTGACACCGCTGGTACCAGTCATCGGCAAGTCCACTCAGCTCCACGTCCTCCTGTACCACATCACTCCATCTCTTCTCTAGCCCGTGCCGCGCCCGTTTAGCCCCCTCGATCCGGCCGAACAAAAGCTGTTTAGGCATGCGGTGGCTGGGCATGCACACACACAGACTCATACACACACATACACACAGACTCATACACACACAGACTCATACACACACACAGACTCATACACACACAGACTCATACACACACACACAGACTCATACACACACAGACTCATACACACACACAGACTCATACACACACACAGACTCATACACACACACAGACTCATACACACACAGAGACTCATACACACACAGACTCGTACATACACACAGACACACACATACACAGACTCATAAACACTCCACACACACAGACTCATACATACTCCAAACACACACACTCCACTCCAAATGCACACTCTCAAACACACACACGCCACACACACACACGCCACACACATGCACAGACGGTGCACATTATACATGCTCCCTATACATTCACATGACGGGAGCCAGTCTGTCCACACGTCAACCAGTGCTAACGTCCCAGAAAGGTGGTGCTGATTGTATCGACCCGGGAAGGGATGATTGTTTGAGTTCGCGGCGCTGAGATGGACGAGTGGTGGTGGGGGATTGGGAGAGCGCAGACGGAGGGAAGTGAAGAAGGGGGAGAGAGCGATGGGAGGGACGAGGAGGGGAATGGGAGAGTTGTGAGAATTGGGAGTTGGGGAGGAGGGAGACAAAGGGTGAGTGAGGGGAGCGGTGTGAGAGCGGGGGAGGGGTGATAGAGACGGGTGCTGGGGTCGAGGGAGAGAGGGAGGGGAGAGTGGGAGTGGAGTGGGAGGGGAGAGTGGAAGGGGAGAGGGAGTGGAGAGGGAGGCTATAGAGAGAGGAGCTCCTCCTCTCTCTGTGACTCCGTCCCGCCCTCAGTCCACGGAGCTACGCCGAGCGGAGTGCCTCGCTCTCCTCGCTCGCTCGCTCCCCCAGCCACCATCTCTCCCCAACGCCGTCTCTCCCCAGCGCCATCTCTCCCCAACGCCGTCTCCCCGCTGTCTCCGCTGTCTCCCCCGCGGGGTCCCCGCTGGTCCCGAGGCGTGCCCGCGGCCCCCCCGGGCCGGGCTGCATGGACGGGCATGGGGATCCGCGCCTGCCCGCGCCTCGCACCCCCCGTCCTCATCCTGTGCCTCGTCGCCGCGCTCTCGCGCCCAGGTACGACTCGACACATACACTCCACACACACTCCACACACTCCAAACACTCCACACACACTCCACACACACACACTCCACACACTCCAAACACTCCACACACACTCCACACACACTCCACACACACTCCCCACACACTCCACACACACACACTCCCCACACACTCCACACTCTCCCCCACACTCCCCCCACACTCCACACTCGCCCCACACTCCCCCACACTCCCCCCACACACACTCCCCATACACTCCCCACACTCCACACACACTCCCCCCACACTCCACACTCTCCACACACTCCACACACACTCCCCACAACACACTCCAAACATTCCCTCCACACTCCACACTCTCCACACACTCCACACACACTCCCCCCACACTCCACACTCTCCACACACTCCACACACACTCCCCACACACACTCCAAACATTCCCTCCACACTCCACACTCTCCACACACTCCACACACACTCCCCCCACACTCCACACACACTCCCTTCTCTCCCACACAATCCCCACACACTCCCCCCACACTCCCCACACACACCCCACACACTCCCCCCACACTTCCCCCACACTCCCCCCACACACTCCCCCACTCCACACACACTCCCCACACACACTCCCCACACTCTCCCCACACTCCCCACACTCCACACACTCCCCACCACTCCCCAACACTCCACACTCCACACACTCCCCCCACACTCCCACACTCTCCCCACACTCCCCCAACTCCACACACACTCCCCCCACACTCCACACTCTCCCCACACTCCCCACACTCCCCCACACTCCCCCACACTCCCCCACACTCCCCCCACACACACTCCACACACTCCCCCACACACTCCCCACACTCCACACACTCCCCCCACACTCCCCACACACTCCCCACACTCCCCCCACACTCCCCCCACACTCCCCCCACACTCCCCCCACACTCCCCCCACACTCCCCCCACACACACTCCACACACTCCCCCCACACACTCCCCACACTCCACACACTCCCCCCACACTCCCCACACTCCCCCACACTCCCCCCACACACTCCCCACACTCCACACTCTCCCCACACTCCCCACACTCCCCCCACACACACTCCACACACACTCCACACACTCCCCAAACTCCACACACACTCCCCCCACACTCCACACTCTCCACATACTCCACACACACTCCCCACACACACTCCCCACACACACTACCCACACACAACTCCCCACAACACTCCCCCCACACTCCACACCACTCCCCCACACTCTCCCCCACACTCCCCTCTCTCCCCACACACTCCCACACTCCCACACACTCCCCTCTCTCCCCACACTCCCCACCACACTCCCCATCTCTCCACACTCGTCCCCACACACTCCCCACACACTCCCCACACACTCCCCTCTCTCCCCACAAACACTCCCCTCTCTCTCCCCACACACTCCCCTCTCTCCCCCAACTCCCCACACTCCCCACACACTCCCCTCTCGCCCCACATCTCCCTCCCCACACACTCCCCACACACTCCCCACACACTCCCCTCTCCCCACACTCCCCACCACTCCCCCACACACTCCCCTCTCTCCCCACACTCTCGCCCCACACTCACCCTCTCTCCCCACCTCCCCACACACTCCCTCTCTCCCCACACTCTCCCCACACACTCCCCTCTCTCCCCACACTATCCCCACACACTCCCCACACACTCCCCTCTCTCCCCACACTCCCCACACTCCCCACACACTCCCCTCCTCTCCCCACACTCTCCCCACACACTCCCCTCTCTCCCCACACTCCCCACACCACTCCCCTCTCTCCCCCACACTCTCCCCACACACTCCCCACACACTCCCCACACTCTCCCCACACACTCCCCACACACTCCCCACACAACTCCCCTCTCTCCCCACACTCTCCCCCACACTCTCCCCACACTCTCCCCACAGCACTCCCCACACACTCCCCACACACACTCCCCACACTACTCCTCACACTCTCCACACACTCCACACACACTCCACACACACTCCCCACACTCTCCCCCACACTCCCCCACACTCCCCCCACACACACTCCACACACACTCCACACACACTCCCCAAACTCCACACACACTCCCCCCACACTCCACACTCTCCACATACTCCACACACACTCCCACACACACTCCACACACACTCCCACAAACACTCCCCCCACACTCCACACACACTCCCCCACACTCTCCCCACACTCCCCTCTCTCCCCACACACTCCCCCACACTCCCCCACACACTCCCCTCTCTCCCACACTCCCCACACACTCCCCTCTCTCCCCACACCTCTCCCCACACACTCCCACACACTCCCCACACACTTCCCCCTCTCTCCCCACACCTCCACCTCTCTCTCCCACACTCCCACACTCCCCACACACTCCCCTCTCTCCCCACCACTCTCCCCACTACACTCCCCACACACTCCCCACACACTCCCCACACACTCCCCACACACTCCCCTCTCTCCCCACACTCCCCACACTCCCCACACACTCCCCTCTCTCCCACACTCTCACCACACACCTCCCCTCTCTCCCCACACTCCCCACACACTCCCCTCTCTCCCCACACTCTCCCACACACAACTCCCTCTCTCCCCACACTCTCCCCACACACTCCCCCACACTCCCTCTCCCCACACTCCCCACACACTCCCCTCTCTCCCCACACTCTCCCCACACACTCCCCTCTCTCCCCACACTCCCCACACACTCCCCTCTCTCCCCACACTCTCCCCCACACTCTCCCCACACACTCCCCACACACTCCCCACACACTCCCCCACTCTCCCCACACACTCCCCACACTCCCCACACACTCCCCTCTCTCCCCACACTCTCCCCACACTCTCCCCACACTCTCCCCACACACTCCCCACACACTCCCCACACACTCCCCACACACTCCCCACACTCTCCACACACTCTCCACACACTCCACACACACTCCCCTCTCTATCTCCCCACACTCTCCCCACACTCCCACACACTCCGCACACTCTCCAACACTCCCCTGGTCACGACTCTCCCTTCCTGCTCTCCCTACTCTCCCCTCGCGTTCTCACAAGCACAGACGCTCTGCCCGACTCTCCCTGCGCTCTCCATCACTCCACTGCACTCTCACACAGATTCGGCCACAGACTCCCTCCATGACACCCGAACCATCTCTCTCCTCGTGTCGACTCCCCAAAGCCCCCTCCCCCCGCGTCCACACTCTCCCCACACTCCCCACACTCTCCCCACACTCCCCCCACACTCTCCTGCACGCCCGACTCTCTCCTACTCCCCGCGCTCTGTGACACTCAACTACAGCGGACTTCAACTCCCTCCCAACACTCATCCCACTCCCCACGGTGTTCCACGCACTCTCCCCGTCCACTCCCCACGGTGTTCCACGCACTCTCCCCGTCCACTCCACACGGTGTTCCACGCACTCTCCCCGTCCACTCCACACGGTGTTCCACGCACTCTCCCCGTCCACTCCACACGGTGTTCCACGCACTCTCCCCGTCCACTCCCCACGGTGTTCCACGCACTCTCCCCGTCCACTCCCCACGGTGTTCCACGCACTCTCCCCGTCCACTCCCCACGTGTTCCACGCACTCTCCCCGTCCACTCCCACCTGTTCCACGCACTCTCCCCGTCCACTCCCCACGGTGTTCCACGCACTCTCCCCGTCCACTCCCCACGGTGTTCCACGCACTCTCCCCGTCCACTCCACACGGTGTTCCACGCACTCTCCCCCGTCCACTCCACACGGTGTTCCACGCACTCTCCCCGTCCACTCCCCACGGTGTTCCACCACGCACTCTCCCCGTCCACTCCACTCCACAGGTGTTCCACGCACTCTCCCGTCCACTCCCCACGGTGTTCCACGCACTCTCCCCGTCCACTCCCCACGGTGTTCCACGCACTCTCCCCGTCCACTCCACCGGTGTTCCACGCACTCTCCCGTCTCCGTCCTCCCCACAGTGTTCCACGCACTCTCCCCGTCCTCCCCACGGTGTTCCACGCACTCTCCCCGTCCACTCCCACGGTGTTCCACGCACTCTCCCCGTCCACTCCCCACGGTGTTCCACGCACTCTCCCCGTCCACTCCCCACGGTGTTCCACGCACTCTCCCCGTCCACTCCCCACGGTGTTCCACGCACTCTCCCCGTCCACTCCCCACGGTGTTCCACGCACTCTCCCCGTCCACTCCCCACGGTGTTCCACGCACTCTCCCCGTCCACTCCCCACGGTGTTCCACGCACTCTCCCCGTCCACTCCCCACGGTGTTCCACGCACTCTCCCGCACTCTGCCGTGTCCTCGTGCGCCAGTCCCGGGACCAATGGGTCCGCTCGGCTCCCTCCCAGTCCCCCGGCCCGAACCCCCCCCCCCGTGGAACTGTGACCGCTGGATCCCTCTCACCCCCTCGCTCCTCTCTCACCCCTCGCCCCCCCCTCAGTCTCGTCGCAGTGCCGCATCCTCAAGTGTAACTCCGAGTTCGTGTCCGCCTCGTCCGGCCCCGCGGGCCCCGGGGTCCCGGCGGAGCGGGCCCGGCTGTGCGCCGCGCTGCGGGCCTACGCGCAGTGCACGCGGCAGACGGCCGCGGCCTGCAGGGGGGACCTGGCCTTCCACTCGGCCGTCCACGGCATCTCCGACCTCATGGCCCAGCACGGCTGCGCCAGGGACGGGCCGACGCCCGGCAGCCGCGTCAGGGGCCCCCAGGGCCAGCGGCCGGAGCACGGAGTCGAGCAGCGGGTCCCGGCGCCCTGCGGCCTCTCCCAGCACTACCACCATCAGCAGCAGCATCAATATCAACATCAGCAGCAGCAGCAGGAAGGGCAACAAGGACCGGTGGCTTCGACGGGCGGTAGGCGAGGAGGGGGGGGAGGAGGGTCGTCGTCGGGTCCCCGCGAGGATGTGACCGGGGCCCGAGGGGCCGTGCACTGCGCCGTGTTCGGCGACCCCCACGTGCGCACCTTCAGGGACGAGACGCACACGTGCCGTGCCCGGGGGGCCTGGCCCCTGGTGGACACCAGGGCCCTGGTGGTGCAGGCCACGCATGCTCCCGCGGGGCCCGGCTCCAGCGCCACAGTCCTCAGCAAGGTGAGCCGCTTGTGCTGGACCCACGTGGCACCACCACCACCACTACCACCACCACCACTACCACCACCACCACTACCACCACCACCACTACCACCACCACCACTACCACCACCACTACCACCAACACCACCACCACTACTACCACCACCACCACTACCACCACCACCACTACCACCACTACCCACTACCACCACTACCACTACCACCACCACTACCACCACCACTACCACCACCACCACTACCACCACCACCACTACCACCACCCACTACTACCACTACCACCACCACCACTACCACCACCACTACCACCAACACCACCACACGCGGCCCGAGCGGGAGGAGGTGGCCCTGCCCTGCAGAAGTTGCCCTCCAGGCCTCGGCTCCGTTGTCCTGTGGCCCAGTCCCACGCTGGCACCGCGCAACGAGCAGTCGTGGATGTAGCAGCAGCGACGCGCTGTGATGGGGGGGGGGGTAGGAGAAGAGTTGTGGATAGATCTCGAGTCGAGGTCACGGTCCGCTATCGTGGAGAGTAACATCTCTGCGTGTGTGGCAGTCCGGGTCAGGGAGCGCGTCAGCAGAGAGAGAGAGATTGGTGTCGATCTGCTGCTGGTCCCCCTTCATAGTAGGGGCGCAGGCTACAGTGGTGTACAGTGCTGTGGGTCGTGTTGGTGGCATGGACACAATCGCCTGACTGTGGCCATGTCTTCAATGTCACATTCATGGCGATGTGCACATCGGCCTGTTGGTGTTCGCATGCGGTTGAAGGTTCCACGGGTGTCTTAGACGAGCAGGAATGTCAAAGCCAGGAGGTGGTGCGGCGATGTTTGGGTCTCAGACGAGGGGGTCACTCTGGACGGCCGCGTTGTTCCACTCTGTTGGCCAGCAGCGATGGGGTCGGGACTTGAGCCGGCGGTGACGAGGCGACGTTGTTGAGCTCTTGGTCGTAGCGATAAGATTCGAGAGTGGTGTTCAGTGTGTCACTGGATGTGGGTGAAGTGGTTCGGGTTCAATGTCGAGTCTGGGGGGGGGGGGTACTCGCTGCACGCTCATAACTTGGGTCAAGTTGACATCGCGCTGCGGTTGGTGTTAGCTAGCGGTGAGTCGATGTTCTAGCAAGGAATGGAGAGCCGGGTTGAGATGAGGGTTAGCGGGTTGGTGGTAGGTTCAGCTGTAGGGGGGTTGTGCAAGTGTGTGTGCGAGTGCCTGCGCCAAACCCAGAGTGGTGGCCACATTCCCTGCGCTGCGCCCAGTGACTGCGCCCGTGACGATGAAGGAGTCTGTGAACCACGAGTCGCGTGTCGTCGCGAGCGCCTCGCACGAACCTCGCCCCGTGGTGTCGCCCCAAACAACGCGGCGAGGACGATGATCTGAGCCGAGCACTCACTGCACCAGTCAACTCCACTTCCCCCCGTGCAGCCTGCCCCAAGGCTGCACGGGGCCCCGCGTGCGCACAAAAGCGTGCGCACAGCAGCGTGCGCACAACAGCGTGCACACAGCAGCGTGCGCACAGCAGCGTGCACACAGCAGCGTGCACACAAAAGCGTGCACACAGCAGCGTGCACACAAAAGCGTGCACACAGCAGCGTGCACACAGCAGCGTGCACACAGCAGCGTGCACACAAAAGCGTGCACACAGCAGCGTGCACACAGCAGCGTGCACACAGCAGCGTGCACACAGCAGCGTGCACACAGCAGCGTGCACACAAAAGCGTGCACACAGCAGCGTGCACACAGCAGCGTGCACACAGCAGCGTGCACACAAAAGCGTGCACACAGCAGCGTGCACACAGCAGCGTGCACACAACAGCGTGCACGCCGCTCTACACACACAACGGCTGTGTTGGCCGCACTTGCACTGCGTTGACAGTGGTGCGCTCCATGCTGGGCCCCGCGTGTGTGTAGCCCGTTGTGTTGAGAGAAACGGTACTTGTGTAAAGGCCAACAACACCTGGGCATGCTGTGTTGACCGGGGGGTGACGGTGTTGCAGGCGGCAACGCGCTGCGTCTCGCTGATGAGCACCGGGAAATGTGAAACCCGAGCCACGGCAGACAGACGCCGGCAAGGCTGCTCTGTGTGTGATGTCGGAATCGTTGGATTTGGTTAAAGCAAACTCCGTGCCCCGTTTGGAGCAACCGGTTGCACAGACGTCCGCGTCTAAACGATTCCGTGGCGTAGCAACCCAAGTTGCGTCAAGAATCGAGTTGATTTCACTGCACACACACACACGTTTACACACACACACGTGTACACACACACACACGTTTACACACACACGTGTACACACACACGTTTACACACACACGTGTACACACACACACGTGTGTGTGTACACGGCAGTGTTGCAGCAAGTAACTCGCGCTGGGGTGTGCAGAGTGTACACTGTAGCAGTTTCATTGTTTTTGCGCAAAGCTACTGGATGTGTCGCACATAAACTGTGTACGTGTTGTGTACGATCGGGGGTTACACGCGTGTACACGGCGCGGTAGCGTCTACATAATGCAGTACACGTACACGCGCATGAATTGCACAACTTAATTATGTACGGTACTGAAATACACTGAAAACGTGCACTAGATACTGTACAAACACACGTGCAAATACAGTGCGCGCGTGTGTAATCCCCCATTAGGGTGGCTCTGATGGTGGTGATGGTGCGGTCACTCTCGTCCGCTCTGCGTGTGGCGCAGCGTCGGTGACGAATATCTGAACGAGTCCTGGGGCGTCTCCTAGGTCGACTCGGCCTTAAAAATAATGTTTGGTGCGGTGTGAAAATATCAGCATTGGGGAGACAAAGGCGGCCGGGCGTGGTATTGGCCCCACCCGCTCGTGTGCCGTGCCGGCCTTCATAGGTGCTCGCGAACAGCACTTGCCCCAACAGTGTTATGGCTATACGGGGGATCTTTGTCTTTGTGTTCTGTACATGGTATACAGTATATATATAGGGTGTATAAAATGCAAAGCATTTGCCCCAACAGTCTGGTAATGATATACGGGGATCTTTGTTTTTGTTATATATAGTACAGGATGCATAAGCAGCTGTGCGCGTGTGTCTAATCTGAAGCCTGCGAGTTTGCATCCCGTTGGGTAGTTGACGCAGCCCATCATCCCTCGGGGGTCAATAAAATTACTACCACTTAGTGGACAAATAAACAGTCGTGCTTCTTTCGAGAGACTGACCCCTGCCAGAGGAATGTGGAGCTTCCAGCATGGGAGATGAGTGATGGGAAACCACCTTGCCCAGGATCCATAGCACATGTGGAGTGGTGATTCCTCCTAACCTAAATTTGCAAAAATGTTTTGACACCGTTGCTGAACACAGGGCCGAAGGCTCCAAAACGTCAAACGGCCAAAGGAAAGACGCAGAACTCGACAATATACATCTCCAGTTTCACTGCAAGTGCTTTGAGCAACTGGTCACCATAGTCCTCGGAATCCAGAAGCCCACAGGGGCCAGGGACCACTCGGTGACGGGTCCCTGATGGCCGGCACCCCACAGACCTGGCCAGGCAGGTCATCCCAGAAGCTGGGGTCCCGAGAGAACTGGGGTCCGTGTTACTCGGTGGACACTCTTTTAAAGGCCATTGATCCTCCCTGAAGGTCAGGGTCTGCTAGAATCCGAGGATGTGGGAGACTGGGGTCGAGGCCTCGCCGCGGCCCCCCTCCTGCGTCACTCCGTGACCTCTCGTGAAATGCCGACGGTCCCCGGTACCCCCCCCCCCCCCCCGTAGTCTCTCAAGTTGCGGCGTTTGGCCCTGGGGCGCCCGCCGGGGCTCCAACCCCGCTCGGCACGGGCGCGCGGCCTACCAGCTGTCGGCGTGCTCCTCCTCGCTACGCGCGGCACTTTAAATCGCGCCGGCGGCCCCCCTTCCACAGCCATTGCACGGGTGAATCATTACAGCCGTGCCTTAAAGAAGGGGGTAGGGAGTTCCAAAGTTTCAGACGGCCACCCTCCATTTGAAGAAAATAATTTGTATTCGTCAACAAGTGTCCCATGGATAGCCTGACCCCCACCATGAGAATGTCGAATTTTCATCACTGGCTTGGGGGGGGGGGGGGCACCCTTGTCGTTGTGCGTGGTCCTATTACTTGTTTGAGCAGGAATCTCAAGGTGTGAACACCATGGTGTGTTTCTGGACTGGATCCTAGAGGTACTGTCTGCAAATCTCGTGTTTGTGTACATTTGTGTGTGGTGCCAGTTGTTAGGGTTAAGCATTAACCATTGTAATGATTTGATGTCTTTACCGTGTAATGTGCCCTTGAGGATTAGGGTTCTGCTTGGGATGTTTGGCCAAAAGTCCAAGATGAAACAGAACGAGTCCCTTGACGGACTGCTCTTTATTTACCACCACCATCGTCTGCATTGCAGCCGTCACACAATCACCGCCACCATCATCATCGCGTCCGTAACCGGTGTCATCCACTCGCTGTTCTCGTGGACGAGGGTTTACGGGAGCCAGCGTGGTGGTGGTGCCGATTGGTTTTGCTCGGTAGGGATGGCGCTCATGAACCGAGATGGGTAATGGAACAGACGGAGGGGACGATGAAAATAATAATGGTGGTGGTGACTGTGAAACTCTTTACGGAACGGTGTAAAGAGTAACCAAAGATAAATCGAGCGGAATAAACGAACGTGCCGCCAAGATGTCAACACCGCCCTGACGTCGGTCACCCCCTACCCCCCCTACCCCCCCCCCCTGCTGGCTGGAGGGATTCCACTGCCTTCGTTATTTTGACGAGGAGATGGCCGCTGCCCCGAACGTTGGCTTTTCACATGACGGTGTTTTCGGTGCTTTTTAGTCTGGGTCTGCGATTCCTACGAGTTTGAGACAACGGGTCTGTGTGAGTTTGTGGGTCTGTGTGATTCCTACGGGGTTGAGACTACCCGGTCTGTGTGAGTGAGTCTGTGGGTCTGTGTAATTCCTACGGGGTTGAGACTACGGGTCTGTGTGAGTGTGAGTCTGTGGGTCTGTGTGATTCCTACGGGGTTGAGACTACGGGTGTGAGTGTGAGTGAGTCTGTGGGTCTGTGTGATTCCTACGGGGTTGAGACTACGGGTCTGTGTGTGAGTGAGTCTGTGGGTCTCTGTGATTCCTACGGGGTTGAGACTACGGGTCTGTGTGAGTGCGAGTCTGTGGGTCTGTGTGATTCCTACAGGTTTGGGTCTGTGTGATTCCTACGGGTTTGAGACTACGGGTGTGAGTGTGAGTCTGTGGGTCTGTGTGATTCCTACAGGGTTGAGACTACGGGTGTGAGTGTGAGTCTGTGGGTCTGTGTGATTCCTACGAGTTTGAGACGACGGGTCTGTGTGAGTGTGAGTCTGTGGGTCTGTGTGATTCCTACGGGGTTGAGACTACGGGTCTGTGTGAGTGTGAGTCTGTGGGTCTGTGTGATTCCTACGGGTTTGAGACTACGGGTGTGAGTGTGAGTCTGTGGGTCTGTGTGATTCCTACGGGGTTGAGACTACGGGTCTGTGTGAGTGCGAATCTGTGGGTGTGTGTGATTCCTACAGGTTTGAGTCTGTGGGTCTGTGTGATTCCTACAGGTTTGAGTCTGTGGGTCTGTGTGATTCCTACAGGTTTGAGTCTGTGGGTCTGTGTGATTCCTACGGGGTTGAGACTACGGGTCTGTGTGTGAGTGTGTTGTTGGGTTTGTGTCAAGACTACAGCGGTGCTGGAGCTGATTCACGAAGTGCGCTTGTTAATTCGCCACTCCCACTGCTCAAAATGTCCCTTGCTCATGGAGGGGGGGGGGCACTGGGACCCCTGACCCCTAGGCCACCCCTCACCCGCGGCTGTTTAGCGAGCGGAATGGCTCAGGTGTTATTTTTACATTTTTTAAAAAGGGCTTCTCGTAAACAGTGTCTGGTGTCGCTGGGTAATGTCAGACATTTCTGCTGCCTGTGCCCAGCGAGGTGGTGGGTCCACGCGCGTTCCGCATACGTGCGCGCACACGTACACACATCAGTATGTGCACACGCACACATACGCACACATACACACACATACACACACGCGCGCTCTATCTCTATAATTATACAGCCCGAGTCACGCGCGTGGGTGACAAGAGCCAATTAACCCGCGCCCGAGTCCTTCCAAAGGTCGCGTGTGAGATTTGATTGGGCCGGGCCGGCGCGGGCAATCAGCTGTGATTGCACGCGACTTGGCACTTCACAAGGCCATCCCACAGCCACGCACACACACAGCCACGCACGCACACATCCACGCACGCACACAGCTACGCACGCACACAGCCACGAATGCACACGCCAGGGGGCTTTGGGTCTGCGGTGGCCGAGCCAGGGACAAGGAGCCGGCACGTGCACACAGCGTGATAAGCAGTCGGGCGCCATCCTCAATCCCCCAGCTCTCCCCTCCCACCTCCTCGCTTTGGCGCTTTCCCAACATGTGGGAGGGAGGGGGAGGGTGGAGATGGTGGGGGAGCAGTGACCCCTGACCATGTTGGTGAGGTCCGACTTGGTTGCATCTCATTGCCTATAAAAGAGGCAGAGTTTGCCCCCTGACTCCAATCCCAACCTGAACCCAGGCGGCCGTGCGTTAGAGAATCGCCAGAGGAGAAGGCCCTCTGCTTCACGCAGGGCCTGGTTGCACAACAATGGCTCATGCTTCCCGATCTCTTCTCCCCGCAGATCACCGTGATCTTCCGCAGCCTCAAGGACTGCGCCGAGCAGAAGGAGTACCAGGCCGAGGCGGGCTCGCTGCCCGCGGCCTTCGTGGACGGCTCTCGTTCGGTGCCCGGCCGCGAGCGCGGGGGCGGAGGAGAGAGCCTGCGCGTGGTGGAGCGGGAGGCGGGCGCGCACGTGGAGATCCAGGCGCGCTACCTGGCCACCACCGTGGTGATCCGCCGCGTGGGCCGCGCCCTCGGCTTCGCCATCCGCATGCCCGAGGCGCTGCTGCTGCAGCCGCACGGAGCAGGGGGCGCCGGCGGTCGCGGGGGGGCGGCCGCCGCGGGGGCCGACGACGGCCCCGGCCTGCAGCTCTGCCAGGACGGTTGCCCCCGCGCCGAGCGCATCGTGGCCGACGTGGACGAGGGGGCTTCCCCGCCGGGGCCCTCGGCGGAGGGGCCCGTAGCTGCCCTCCCATCCTCCCTGGGCCGCGCGGAGGCCGAGGCGGAGTGCGAGCGCGTGCTGCCCGTGCGGGACTTCTACTTCCACGCCTGCGTCTTCGACCTCGTGAGCACGGGTGACGTCAACTTCACGCGCGCCGCCGCGGGGGCCCTGGAGGACGCGCAGGCCATGCTGCAGGCCTCCGAGAGGGCTCACGTGCTGCGCAGGAATAGCGAGCGCAGGAGTGCGGAGTCGGAGGGCTTGGGGCCTTCGCCCGGTAACGGGGCAGGTCCCGGGGTACACGTGGGGAGAAGGCCGCTTGCCGCACTGCTGCTGTTGATGCTGTGTCTCGTGGTGTGAACGACGGGGACAGTTGGAGAAGCGGGAGTTTTCGGGGCCTTCTAGGCCGCCGCAGGAATCGTTGAGTTCTGCCGCAGACCCCGCGGTGGCCAAGCTGGCCTGCTCCGCCCCGCACCTGCTGCGCACCGTCCCCCCGAGCGGCCGAGCACGGCTGCGGTTCCAGGCCCTCGTGTAGCCGGCCCAGAGCAGCCATCGGGGGTCGTCGCCAGGATCCGTGGCGCCATCCCGAACAGACGCAGGGGCCGTGGCTCCGGCCACAGCCCAAGGACGGCGAGCCCCCGGGGCCACGGGCCATGTTGGGCGGCCAGGACTGCCGCCCCCCCCACTCGCACTTTAGCTCCGTGTGACAAAACGCTCTGAATGTGGCATGAGCCGTAACGAGATGAACATGCAAGATTTGTTGAGAGATTCTCTATATTTACAAAGGTCTAAAAGCAAAGTGTGGCGTGTATGGCATGTAGAGTTTAATTGTACAGGCAGTGGATGTATAAAGCAAAACAAACGTGTACATATAATTTATAAACTGAATTTTAACACGTTTAAATTAAAGCGAGCTGCGGTCTGGCCCTGAATTTGTGTGGTCTCTTTTCGCGGTGTACACTGACCAGTGACGTGTGCTACTTTTGTGTGTGAGCACGTGGGTGTGAGCACGTGTGTGTGAGCACGTGGGTGTGTGTGTGTATACGGCTGGAAGTCGCAGGAATTTTCTGTTCGCCTTGTGGTGTGACATGTATGTCCTCTGGCCCCTACAATATTTAACATCTACCACGCAGTTCTAGAAGATTTCCATGGCTATACCAAAGGAATTTCAATTTGGTACATATACAGTGAAAGGTTTATTGATGCGGTCAGGGAATGACTGCCTATTGGTCAATAATGTTACGTATGTCGATAAGTGGGCAGCAATTACCAACTCAGAGTTGGAGATGGGACTGCTGAACCTGGAGTCTGGCCTAAGAGATGGAGCCTTACCATCACCCCGACAAAAAATTTGCACGTAGGTCTGTTCCATGACCTGTCGGCGAGCTTTTGATACTTCACATGACCTCAGTGCACCTGGCCTGGCACAGGCGCTGTGGTGACATCACTGCTACTTTGTGGCGAACGGCGGCTATTGTGTACACGTGTGTGCATATGTGCGTCTCCTATCGCACACGAGGGTGTTATTAAGAAGTAGGAGATATCTCGGTTTATTCGAGTCGACATTTATCCAAGTAAGTTGAGTAACTTTCCACTCCAAACCCAACATCGACTCTTGTGGCCGCTGCGGTCGTCGTGCATGTGGTGTTACAACTGAGATCAGATGATCAGATAAAACAATGAGACTAGTTTTATCGATGGTGGCGTCTTTCATGCAAATTTACTCCTTTCACAATCACCGACGATCCACAGACGATAATTGGACGGCAGCAGCAACCAGGTGGAGAGTCGGTGCCAATTTACCAAGCTCTGCGGTCCTCAATATATCAAGATGTTTTCGGCCAATTCACGAGTGTTTATAGATGTGGGAGGAAACCGGAGCGCCCAGAGAAAACCCACGCCTGGGAGAAGCCATCGATCGCTTCGGGAGTCGGTTACAGGCAGCCGCGGTGCAGCACACGGCTGCCTGGCGCGGTCACGCGTTGCTTAAACTCATCCACTGGTCCTAAATTCAGATGACTTTACAACCCTGTACAAGCTCCTGCTGGATGAGAGCCGTGTCGGTCACTGGTTGATTTGACGAGTTGTCCACGCTGGCCAGTGCGGGTTGGAGGAAGGAGCCGGCAAGGGGAGGCCAGGACCCATTCGGTTATCACCCGCCCCTGATGTTCGCCGTGGCTGGGAATTGAACCCGGTCGCTGGGTTCCATAGGATGCAGTGCGCGCATCATCACTGCACCCCATATGCAAAAGTAAGATGATATATAAACGATGTTTGCATGCATTATGTTATCCTGTTTGTGAGCTAGATATTGTTTGGTAAAACGGCGTATACATTTGAATCCGTCCTATCAGTTAAACGCCGCTTATCTGACTAAAAAGGTGAATTGAAAACTACCCGTCGTCAACAACGCTGGGATCATCTCACGTGAGCTCGGCGCCACCGCGTGGATGCTCCACGTCGCTGCTGCTATGAAGACCCCACGTGGGTTCACATCCAATGGTTTTCTGTGTAGTAACCAAGTGGTGAGACCTCAAGGCACCAGGATAGTGTCAATCTCAAGAGAGACCTCGGTCACAAAAATGACAAAGCAATACAACAAACAAACAGTGTTGTCATGAAGCAAATAGACGACCAACAACAACTTCATGACAGAATAACTCTAAAACATTGCACAAATATGACTCGTAGTGAAATAAAATCGCACAAGCAGAGACTGAACGCGATACAGGGCGAGGAATTGTGGTGATCTTTGATTAATTGGCGGAGAGCAGTGGCAGAGTGGTTTGCGCACTCCGCTATGAATCCTGTGATCCAGAGTTTCGTTTCCCGGCCACGGCTAACATCAGTGGCGGATGGGATCTGAACGGCTGCGATGCAACACGGCGAGCAACAGGAAGGCATGGCAGCAACATCCACCATGATACGACACTTGCGTGCTCCCAAACCACAAGCCGCATTGCACAGCCTGGTGAAGTCGAGCAGACACTGCGATTGCAGGCCTTCATCCAGGAGTCAATGATTGTTTTTATTATCATCATGGTTCCCAAAGCGCAACCAAAACCTCAGTGTCAGGGGCAAGATCCTGATGGCGACGGGATGACCTTGGTAACGAGGATGATGGCGAGAGCGGTGTTGGTGGGAGCCGCATCCGAGCGACACGACGACCAAGAAGCCCCCTCCCGCTCTGCTCACAGCGACTGGTAGCCAGAGGGCTTCTCCCGAGCAGGGGGGCACTCCCCGCGGCCCCGGGGGCCCCTGGGGCCCCTGGGGCCCCTGGGTTCCTCCCTTGGGCCACAGCGACCTTTGTCACCGTGCGGCTCGGGTGGGGGAGGGCAAGGTGCAAGCCTCCCCTCCAGGGTCCTCGCGAGAGCGGCCGAGGTGTCGCCTGGCTCCCTCCGCAGAGCCCCTCGCTGACATTTCCTCTTCCTCCCGGGTCCCACTGGGCCACGTCTCCCCCCTCTGTCTCCACCCCAAGCCGCGTGTCTGTAAGTGTCTGTGTGAGTCACTCTGTGTTAGTGTGAGACTGTGTGTGTTAGTGTGAGTCACTCTGTGTGTTAGTGTGAGTCACTCTGTGTTAGTGTGAGTCTGTGTTAGTGTGAGAGTCTGTGTTAGTGTGAGACTGTGTGTTAGTGTGAGTTGTGTTAGTGTGAGTCACTCTGTGTGTAGTAGTGTGATGCTGTGTGAGTCACTGTGTTAAGTTCGTGATTTCTTTGTGAAATCCTGTTGTATAGCAATTAGAAAGTGTTAGACCCTGTGTGTTAGTGTGAGACCCTGTGTGTGTTAGTGTGAGTCACAGTGTGTGTAGTAGTGTGAGTCACAGTGTTAGACCATGCGCGTGTCATTGTGCCTATTCGTGTAAAACCTTGTTCAAGCCCCGTGTGAATCTGGGAGGCGAGGACGCAGTACGGGACTTGGTCGGCGAGAAACCCCGAAACCCCGTGCCCTGGCAGCAAAGCGGGGCTCTAGGGTCTTCTCGTCCACCCACAGGACTGGGGGAGCTGTAGGGGTGGAGTGGGGGTGGTGGTGGTGAAGTGGGGGTGGTGGTGGTGAAATGGGGGTGGTGGTGGTGGAGTGGGGGGGGGTGGTGGAGTGGTGGTGGTGGAGTGGTGGTGGTGGTGGAGTGGGGTGGTGGTGGTGGAGTGGGGGTGGTGGTGGAGTGGGGGTGGTGGTGGTGGAGTGGGGGTGGTGGAGTGGGGTGGTGGAGTGGGGTGGTGGTGGAGTGGGGGTGGTGGTGGAGTGGTGGTGGTGGTGGTGGAGTGGTGGTGGAGTGGTGGTGGTGGAGTGGGGATGGTGGTGGCATCTCCCGCAGGGCTCGGGATGCCCCAAGGTCGAACGCGTCGCGCGGCTCCCGGCGAGCACCGCCCCTGGTGGCCGTGAGCCATGCTGCTGCCGCTGCTGCTGCCGCCGCTGCTGCTGCTCTCCCTGCTGTTTGACATTGACGGCAGCGCTTTGTAAAAAACAACCCTGAATACCGGTAACCGGTTAAAAAAAAAGTAGTTCATAAACCGGTAACCGTTATTGTTACGGGTTCAAAAAGTGAGAAACCGGTAACCGTTCGCTGTGGATTGCCTCGGAATGATTGCGTCGCCGATTGCGTCACGCGCGGCGGGCGACCGCACGGCACGGCGCGTGCGGCTCCCCTGGAGAGAGCCCCGGAGGGTCGCAGGCGGAGTGCCCACACTCTACCCCACCGCACCATCACCACCGTCACCACCATCACCGCCATCACCATCATCATCACCACCATCATCACCATCACCACCATCATCACCATCACCACCATCATCACCATCACCGCCATCACCACCATCACCACCATCATCACCATCACCATCATTCTGCTTGGTGTGGAAGAGGCGGACGTGCCTACACTTTACTCCACCGCACCATCACCACCGTCACCACCATCACCGCCATCATCACCACCATCATCACCGTCACCACCATCACCGCCATCACCATCATCATCACCACCATCATCACCATCACCACCATCATCACCACCATCACCATCATCACCACCATCATCACCACCATCACCGCCATCACCATCATCACCACCATCATCACCACCATCACCACCATCACCATCATCATTCTGCTGGGTGTGGAAGAGGCGTGCGGGTTAAGGAACTCTCCCCATGGCTTCGGCTGCCCGGCGGGAGAACGAATCGAACCACGACCTCTGCTGCATTGCGTGCAGCTGACATTCACACGCTCCACTGTGGCAGCTCCCTTCGCCTCTCGGTTAAACACGTGCCATGTTTAGTGCTCCAGCCATGTGTATATACACACACAATACTGTGCTGCATGTGTGAGAAACCACTAACCGGTTATTTTTCAATCGGTTCGCTGTCATACAAAATAGATTCAACGCAGATGCATATAAGGTGCGAGCGAGCGTGCGCGCGCGCATGCGCAGTGTGGCCGCGCACGGGGTTTGTGACCGGCCCCGGATTTTGCATCGCCACCTGCGGGCGATGTCACGGTCACACGGCGCATGCGCGCTGGGGTTCACTGCAGTGAATTTGACGGCGCCGGCGTAAGGCCCGGGGCCCCGCGGGGACCCAGGGCACCGAGGGGATCTGGAGGGACGGAGGGGGCCTGAGGCTGTCTTCCTCCGCGTCTCCACCCGCAGCGACGAGAGCCTCCGACAGGCAGGGAGGGAGGCAGGCAGGGAGGTGCCTGGGCCGGCCCGCCGCATGCGCTGAGGCCGGGGTTCATGTCCCGCGAGGGGGCCCCGGGGCTCCCGGGCGGCGAGCAGGAGCGGCGAGGGGGGCTCGCCCCCCCGCCCGAGGCGGCGGCGGCGGCGTCTCCCGGCGCCCCGCGCTGCGGCGGGGACGCCGAGGAGGTCGCGGGGGAGCGTGGGGACAGCGACCCCGCACGGGGTGAAGACGCCCCTGAGACGAGGGTGGAGACCCCTGGCGATGAGGCGGAGGAGGTGAAGGAGGCGGCAGCTGGCAGGGATGCCGCGGGATCTGGGGTCGGCGAGGGGAGCCAGAGGAGCCGGAGGTCCTCGTCGCAGAGCGAGGGGGGCGCGCGGTTCTTCGTGGGCGACGACGACGACGATGACGACGAGGAGTATGGCAGCTTCCGGAACGAGGACAGTGACCTCTACTACGACGACGACGACGAGGACGAGTCGGTGAGGAGGTCCACCCAACGGGTCAACAGCATCATCATCACAGCTGTCATCATCATCAACATAATCACAACTGTCATCACCACAATCATCATCATCACAGCTGTCATCACCATCAACATCATCACAGCTGTCATCACAACAGTCATCAACATAATCACAGCTGTCATCAACAGTCATCATCATCATCACCATAATCACAATTGTCATCAACACAATCATCAACATAATCACAGCTGTCATCACAACAGTCATCAACATAATCACAGCTGTCATCAACAGTCATCATCATCATCACCATAATCACAATTGTCATCAACACAATCATCATCATAATCACAGCTGTCATCACCAGTCATCATCATCATCATCAACATAATCACAATTGTCATCAACACAACCATCAACATAATCACAGCTGTCATCAACAGTCATCATCATCAACATAATCACAGCTGTCATCACCACAATCATCATCAACATAATCACAATTGTCATAACCAGAATCATCATCATCATCATCATCAAAATAATCACAACTGTCATCACAACAGTCATCATCATCAACATAATCACAACTGTCATCACCACAATCATCATCATCAACATAATCACACCTGTCATCATCATCAACAATCACAATTGTCATCACCACCGTCATCATCAACATAATCACAACTGTCACCAAAATCATTAATAACATAATCACAGCTGTCATCACCACAATCATCATCAACATAATCACAATTGTCATCACCACAATCATCATCAACATAATCACAACTGTCATCACCACAATCATCATCAACATAATCACAACTGTCATCACCAAAATCATCATCAACATAATCACAATTGTCATCACCAGAATCATCATCATCATCATCAACATAATCACAATTGTCATCACCACAATCGTCAACATAATCACAATTGTTATCACCACAATCATCATCAACATAATCACAGCTGTCATCACCACAATCATCATCAATATAATCACCAGTCATCAACAGTCAGCCTGGGGCTTGTCATTCAGACCTGTTCTCCACCTGAGGACGGCTACTTGCGTTGTGGCCGAAACGTCGTGAGAATTATTTTATTATGTTTTATTTTTATTATTTTATTATTTCAATTCTACGTGACTTTATCGAAAGAACCAAGAAGATGAATCCCTGCAGTCACGAAAGCTTTAAATCGAAATTTATTCTTGGTTCTTTTGGTAAAGTCACGTAGATAGAAAATAAAAATAAAGTAAAATTAAAATAAATGAAATAAAGTAATCAAACCACGACGTTTCGATCGCAACACAAGCGGTCTTCATCAGGCGGAGAGAAAAGAGCGGGCAAGCCTCCAAGGGGGGAGAGAGAGGGGGGTAGAGATGGGGGGGGGCATTGCAAACAAACAATTTCATTTTATTTTATTTTCTATTTACGTGACTTTACCGAAAGAACCAAGAATATGAATTCCTGCAGTCACGAAAGTTTTAAGTCAACAAATAATCACAACGGTTATCACCACAGTCATGGTCAACATCATCGCCATTGTAATATTTAACACCATTACCATAATTGTCATTAACATCATGATTTTAACTAGCAAGACCCATTATCATCAACACCACCCACTACTACCAGCTATCATCACCACGTTGCCCATCACAAATATCTCCATCGTCATAATTATTACCATGATTCTCCTAATGATCATCATGATTATTATCACAACTTTTATGATCACAACTGTCATCATCATTGTACCTCCCCTATCACCATCAATATTACCATCATCAACCACTGTCAATGCCAAGGTAAACTGAGTCATCATTACCACCATAACCACCGACATTACCACTGCTATTACTCCTGCCTATTTATTTACGTGTTTCACCTGGATAATCCGTTGAGATGGAGCATCTCGTTTGCAACGGTGTCAGTGGTGTCACTTGGCACAAAGCAAATGCGTAATGTAAAACCATCACAGATGTCACCATGGCATTCCTCCTGGCCTAGAGACATTGTCCTCAAACCCAGACTGGACCTGCTGGGGTGATGGGCATGAAGGAGTGAGGTGTGTGAAGGAGAGGAGTGGAGTGTATGAAGGAGTGAGATCTGTCAAGGAGGAGTGAGGTGTGTAAAGGAGTAAGGTGGATGCCTTGCCGGATTATACTAGTAGAAAAAGTAGCATATGCTACGGGCCCCGCACTTTCAAGGGCCTTGCGCTAAATGCTTTCAAACTATCAATTCCGGCTCCGTGATTCTGCACTTGCTCTCTTACTATAGTACAATACTGCCTTCAACTTTTATGAACGACTGGGTGTTTAAGGTTAGCGATTTGTCGCATTATCTGGCTGTATAGCAAATGAGAAAATACAATTACTTTACTATGCAAGTTAAAAATTTGTGTTTTAATATTTATGCGTGATTTTTTATTTAGGGGCCCTTTATAACATTTGCTACAGGCCCTGCACTAGCTTAATCCGGCACTGGGTGGATGAAGGAGTGAGGTGCATGAAGGAGGAGTGTGGTGCGTGAAGGAAGAGTGGGATGTGTGGATGAGGAGTGGGGTGTGTGAAGGAAGATGAATGTGAAGATATTCTCCCCTGTCCCCGCAGCCGCCCGAGCGTCAGATTGTGGTGGGCATCTGTGCCATGGCCAAGAAGTCCAAGTCGAAGCCCATGACCCAGATATTGGATCGCCTCTGCAAGTTCAAGTACATCACGGTGGTCATCTTTGACGAGGAGGTCATCCTGAACGAGCCCGTCGAGAATTGGCCGCTCTGTGACTGCCTCGTGTCCTTCCACTCAAAAGGTACCTCCTCAACCCTCCTCAAGCCTCTTGACCCTCCTCAACTTGCAACCCTCCCCAAGCCACCTCAATGCTCATTAACTTTTCTCAAGCCGCCTCCACCCACCCCATCCCTCCTCCACCCCTCCAGCACCCTGCTCCACCCTCCTCAACTCTCCCTAACCCTCTCCCTGCATACACCTGGGTACCTGGGCACACTGCAAGAGAGGGGCACCGCTAGAGGGTAGAGTGCTCTTGCATAATACGAACTACACTACTCCTAACGTTAACCAATAAGACTCTTTATCATAACCCTTGCTCTAAACTGCACAAGTCAACCAAAAACTGGGCCTAGCCCTAACTCTAAGCAAACTAGTATACTCGATCCTAACAGTATCCGTCACCCAATCTCAATTCAGACATATGCCTGAGCCTTAACTCTAACCAAATCAGTCAAATCAAACCTAATACTGAAAAAACCTAAGAATCCTAATACTATCCGTCAGCCTGAACAAACACACCAGCCAGCCATACACAAGCTCCAGTCCTAACCCTTATCAATGTGACCAACTAGGAACTAACACTGATACAAACTCCTAGTCCAAGGGTAGGAAACGTGCTGCCCACAACTTAATTTCATAAGGCCCTGGCCACGAGGCCTACCACTTAATAACAGCCAACAGATGAAATTTAATCATCACTGCAAGCATCTGAGCTGCATTAATGTGGTCCTAGAGGGGGGATATATAAACATATTCGTGTTATCGAGTAGAAAGCAGGTGCAGCAGGCAGCACACGAGTGCTATAAATATGGGATTGGGGGTGTCGCCACGTACCGCTGCCCTGCTGACCACAACCCATGCACGCTACGCGCTTGTCGTTAACATCGCCACCTGCTGCATGCTCCGTGCAGCGTAAAGACAAAGAACCGCGTTTAACACGACCAGTGGGGAAACTTGGCTGTAGCCGTGATGCAGGTAGGATTGTGTGCGCGTGTGCGGTGAATTACCCCGGGATGTAAACCTTATGATTGCACTGCTTAGCAGGCTTCCCGCTGGACAAGGCCGTGTGCTACGCGAGGCTACGCAACCCCTTCATCGTCAACGACCTCGACATGCAGTACCACATCCAGGACAGGTAAGCAACCGCCGTGCACACACACGTGTACGTAGCGTGCGTATTTATTTACACATTTTATGCGCCTTTCACAATGTCTCCAGGTGCCGCGCATGCAAAGGACAACTATAATAAAGAATGAACCGGCTGGCAAAATAGGAGCTAGAGAGGAACAAATCCGATGAGAGGAAAGCTGTTTAAATAAGGTCAATAAGTTGGGGAGCCTGATGTCCGGTGGTAGGGAGTGCCACAACTGGGGGACCACCACGGTAAACGGCCGATCACCTCAAGAACGTAGCTGAGATCGGGGTTTATACATAAGAGGACACTATCGGCAGATCTTAAATACCAGATAAAGTGGAACTATCCCTCAAGGCTTTAATACGAACTACGTGATCCTATATTCCACTTATTTAGATACAGGGAGCCAACCCATGCAAAAACAAGAGAGATGTATACACGTAACACACACTCACACCATAGATATGCTAAGTCGGCAGACACAGTGCACCTGTATGCAGCACAGGTGTACCAGTCTGTACACGAGGCATGGACACACGACAGATCACAATGCATGACTGTCAGGGCAGGTAAGATCCAGGTGAAGTTTCTATTCTCCCGTCGCTTTGTATCGAGTGGCGGAATTTCGCACGAACCGGCTGTGCTGTGTGCGGTCGCTGGATCCTGTGTCCTTGGTCGTATGTGCGAGGGCAGGCGCGAGGTTTATCGGATTCTCAAGGAGGAGGGAATCGACCTGCCCCGCTTTGCCGTCCTCAACCGGGATCCCAACCGCCCCGAAGGTAATGTCCGCGACAGCGTCTTTCCACCATGGAGCCTCTTGTGCCCAAGCGTGTGTGTGTGTTAGGGCCCGAACGATACATTGATGAAACCAATTCTTGACCTGGGATATTTCCCCCAGCTTTGAACAACACCAGCGGCATGCGAAGTGCGAACCTGTCCTGGGCTTCCGCTCGGGCAACTCGGCATTAGATGAGTCGCTTGTATTTGCGTTTAAATATGAGCAACCCTTTGTGTGCTGTGCCAGCCTCAATGGGTACTCACTAATAGCAATTTACCCATCAGTCTGGAAGTCTGAATATGGCATCTTTGTCTCGTGTGTGTGCCCTCCTTCCCCCCGTGTGGGTGCACTGTTCCACCTGGATGCAGACTGTAACTTGGTGGAGAGTGAGGACCACGTGGAAATTAACGGGGAGGTTTTCCAGAAGCCGTTTGTGGAGAAGCCAGTCTGTGCCGAGGATCACAACGTGTACATCTACTACCCCACGTCAGCCGGAGGGGGCAGCCAGCGTCTCTTCCGCAAGGTGCGCGCCAAACGGGCATTGGGGCACAGGGGCAGCACCTGCCTCCCTCCATTAGGGCTGAACCATGAATCGATTTCAAATCGAAATCGCAATTTGAAACAATGCGATTAGCAAATCGCAAAGGCTGCGATTTTTTGCGATTTGTGAAGTCCTATTACTTTCTTATTGGAATTGTTTTATTTTTCATTATTATTATAACCCTATTTATTTAACTTAACAATTGTTCTATGTTTGATTATTCTATTTCAATTAAAACATTTTAATAAATACATGTTGGAAGCAATTAATATCTTTTAAGTTCTCATCCTTGCATTAGAATATACAGTCATACCTCGGTATACGACTGCTTTGGAATACGTCGAATTTGGTATACGTCGTGTTTTGACGAGAAGAAAATGTCTTGGGATACGACGTCCTTGCTTGGGATACGACGCGCTTGCTAGAACTTGTATGGGTCGGGATGAGTCACCGCGTACAGTACCCGCGTACACAATCCTGTTACGGCTATAACACGCCGTAACAGTATTGTGTGGAATGACCAGACAATGTCACACTTCAGGAACATTATTAGATGAAGGCACAAATAAACTTTAATGGACAGGTTTTTAGTAAAACTCAAACCTGGCGCGCCTCAGCCAGGTTTGAAAAGAGAAAGAGAAAAAAACCCAGAATTTCAGCTTCCTGAAGTTTTAATGGGCGGGGACTCTCCTTCCAAAAAACAACATCTCCTCCTCCCCTCCCTCACCACCATCCTCTCAGCAAGGTAAAGTGATGTTACATTTTATTTTTTAATTCAATTTATTTTAATTTATGCATTTATTTTAATTTATTTATGTATTTTAGTAATAAGTAGTGTCTAAATTATTTTATACAACCCCATTAATGTTCAATATGCCATATAAAATATGATTTCTTATACTCTGGAACGGATTATTTCCTTTACCTTTATTTCTTATGGGAAATATTCCTTTAGTGTCCGTCACTTTACGGTACAAGTCCTCCTACCTTCTGGAACGAATTAACGACGTATACCGAGGTAGCACTGTATAGAGAAGTTAATATGTTGATGGTATCGTGTGGTAATGCTCCATCACATGTTTTAAATCTATTGCACCGTGAATATTGAACTGAAGCTTGACTTTAAAAAATGTTTTCGCAAATCAAATCGCAATATCTGTCAGAAAAATCGCAATTAGAGATTTTCCCCAAATCGTTCAGCCCTACTCTCTCCATCGCCATGCCAGGGCCTGCAGCCTCGCAGGGGACCACAGGGACGATCGGCTCCCTGTACGCTTGGGAACTTGCGTAGGGTAGTTCATTGAGTTGTTTTAGCGTTTTAAATTGTTGCCTGCAAACAAAACGTGAAATATTTATTATTGGTTTGTCTTACACATATATCAAGTTTATTTTGTTTAACCAGGTGAGAACTATTAAAATAAAAGTCCAGCCCTGTGTGTGCATGTGTGCGTTTGTGTGCTTATTGGAAAGTACCACGCGGTTGCTGGTGAGCCCTGCTACTGGTGGCTTACGGTGGCTGCCGCTGATCAATGACAGTGGAGTGCGCTGTGTGGGTTGAACGTTCGCATGTGGCCATCGGTTAAGTCCAACTGAATTAAATTATTGGTTTAATGACTTTTGAAATCAATATTCAATTAATAACTTAACCGTTATTGATCAACAGCCCTACCGATGTGTGTATAGTGACTTGTCGGTGGTGATGTGCGCGTGCATTTAGATTGGGAGTCGCAGCAGCGTGTACTCTCCCGAGAGCACCGTGCGCAAGACCGGTTCCTACATCTACGAGGAGTTCATGCCCACTGATGGCACCGACGTCAAGGTGGGAGACAATTCCTGTAACAGACATCTCCAAAATAAGTGGCGTCCTTTGTATCGTGTGCAATGCCGTCCTGAGGTGTATATAAGGCCACACGGGGGATTTGTGTGTTTGCCCTTACTAATGCACGACACACGTGCCGGGCAGGTGTACACGGTGGGGCCGGACTACGCGCACGCGGAAGCGCGCAAGTCTCCCGCGCTCGACGGGAAGGTGGAGCGCGACGCCGAGGGCAAGGAGGTGCGCTACCCGGTCATCCTCAATGCCCGCGAGAAGCTCATCGCCCGCAAAGTGTGCATGGCCTTCAAGGTAGGAGCGAGATGATCCGTATTAGGTGTGCGCTTCCTGTCGTCTTGGCCGTTTCCTGTTTGGCCACAGGCGAGGCCACAAGCGAGGCCCTGACGTCGCATCCTCGTGTGCGGTCCGCAGCAAACGGTGTGCGGGTTCGACCTGCTGCGCGCCAACGGCAACTCGTACGTATGCGACGTCAACGGCTTCAGCTTCGTCAAGAACTCCATGAAGTACTACGACGACTGCGCCAAGATACTGGGGTGAGCGGCGGCGCAATGCTCCACCGCGCGGCACGGTATCACGCAACGTGGCAACACAATGCAAGACGCCGTGGGGAAAACACAGCAGGAGGCAACACATTGTAATAGAGCACTGGAACACATGACAGCGCAACCTGACACACCGCAGCACGACATGATGGTTGTAAATCCTGGCGCAGCCACCACCTGACAAGTGTGCATCGATCGCTGGACACAAGAACATGCTTGATAATCCCATAGACGTGCGATCCCTGTATAGCGCCTACTCTTAACACGAGCCTTACCCCTAATCCTAACCCTAACACCACTCACTTACCCTCAATCATAATCTTAACTGTGTTCCTAACCTTTGCTCCGAACGTACGAAGGGTTTTTGGTGTCGCATTATTTTCCATTAAGCCATTCTCTGGGCTCTGTAACCGCTTCCCTGCCCCGCCGTACGTTGTGATTAAGAAGGCCTCGGTGGCCGGAGGGCGATCACGAGCTTTGCGATTAGGTGGGCCTCGCTTATCCTCGTAATCTTGTAAAGCGGCACCCACTATGTTCCCTGCTATGGACGTTGCCTGGGATGTGAAATGAAGACCGGGGTGATTCATGGGGAGTGCGATTCAATCCGCTGTGCGCTGCCTCTTGTCTGCGTGTGTCGCAGAAACATAATCATGCGCGAGCTGGGCTCGCAATTCCACATCCCGTGGTCGATCCCCACGGAGGCGGAAGACATCCCCATCGTGCCCACCACCTCCGGCACCATGTGGGTACTGCGTCGCTGCTGGCACCGCACCCGCACCACCTGCCCCAGCTGCTGCTCGCTAAAACCTTAGTGCTGCACCGGTCACTTATTACCGTAGTCGCTCATTACCAATGCCGCTCACGGGTACGGTCATTCATTTTCAGGGTTCCTGTCCGTTGTTCTCTGTCAGTGATACATGTGCACGCATAGTGTTTGTGATTGCGATTATGTATGCACGTGTGTGTGTGCTTGTCTGTATGTGTGTGTTGTGAGGAGTGATAGCGCAGTGGTTAGCGTGATGCATTTCGAACCCGACAACCCAAGTTCGATTCTCGCTCACGGCCAACACCAGTGACGACTATCTGAACCAGTCCTGGGTATCCCCTAGGTCGACTTAGCCTCAAATGAGTACTTCTCGTGGTGTGTAAACATTACCACTGGGAAGACAAAGGCGGCCGGGTGTGGTGTTGGCCAGCCACCTCCTCGTCTGCCGTGCCGGCCTTCATAGGTGCTCGCTAACGGCACTTGTCCCAACAGTATGTTAAGGCTATACATGAGATCTTTGTCTTTGCATCTGCAAATGATCTCAGTAAGTCCACCCATAACACCTGGCATGTCCCGTGATTTCCTTCCAGTGAGCCTTCACGTAAAAGCCTCAGAGTACACCTAGCCTGGCATAAGTGCTGTTGTTATGTCATCGGCACTTCTGGGCGAACTGCGGTCCTTACCGTATCTGTTATTTGTGCGCGCGTGTCTGTGTGCCGTGCACGTGAGCAGGATGGAGCTGCGGTGTGTGATTGCCGTGATCCGGCACGGCGACCGAACCCCCAAGCAGAAGATGAAGATGGAGGTCCGGCATCCACGGTGTGTGCCGCCCCCCCCCCCCCCCCCCCTGCATGGCCACCACATTAAACCGGCTCCTTCAATCAACAACCGCACTCTGTGATAATGACAGACTCGTATCCCGACAGCAACATTACCGGCACGCGGTTGAGGGGAACCCGTGCCTGGCATAACCGGGGAATGCTTGGCCACCGACATGAACTCACTCTAAAATGTGTACCGCTACTGGACAGATAAAGGTGGTTGGGCTTGGTGGCCACCATTCCGTTCACTTGCGTGTTGATTGTACCCACCTTAATAGGTGCTCCGTAACAACACTTGCCCGTGCTAAATGGGTGTCGTCGCATCGTGCATGCTCCTCGTGTGTTTGAATGCTGGGCGCCAGGTTCTTCGAGCTGTTCGATAAATACGAAGGCCACAGAACGGGGAAACTGAAACTGAAGAAACCCAAGCAGCTGCAGGTCAGTGTCCATACTAAGCAGCGCATGCACCTCCACCGCCACCAGCTGTGCCACACCGTCACCATAAAGCAGTTGTAGTTGGTGCCTGCACATGTGTGGTATGCCGCCGATGTGTAATCTTGCGTGTAATGGTTGTTGCGGTTGGTGAAGATGGTTGTTGTGGCTTGTCATTGTGGTGTGGTGTGTCACACACAGGGTGTTGTGGAATGTGGTAGCGTGTATCGTTGGTGTGGCCTAGTGCGTCATGTGTGTTGTGTTGTGGAACGGCGTTTTGGCCCACGGAGTGTTGTGCAGTGCGGTGTGAGGCCCTGCATTTTATCGTGAACGACTAATTTACACATTTTGGCGCATCGCTTGGGGTGTGGCATGGAGCTAGCCACAGCATGGTGGAGTTGGGCGTGGTGCAGTGTGCCACGGTGTGGCACAGTGTGGCACGGCATGGCGTGGAGTGTAATGTGGAAGTGGTGGCGTGACCCACAGGAGGTGCTCGACATTGCACGGCTGTTGCTGTCTGAGCTCGATCAAAAGAACGACACTGAGATCGAGGAGAACAAAGCCAAGCTTGAGCAGCTCAAGACCGTCCTGGAGATGTGAGTGGCCGCGCTTCACGATTCATAGCCGCAGCAGCACACCGCACGTACGCGCCGTCACGCTGACGCGCACGTGGCACGTGGGCATGCTGGGCTAGAGCAGCACTCGGACACGCACGTACGCGCACGCACGTACGCGCACAAGCATCCACCCGTGCCCTGTTGCGGTCGTGTGTGCGCGCATGCACACATCGCTCGCCTGCAAGGCGTGCGCATGCCCATCGTGTAACGTGCGCAAGTTGATTCATACGCGCACACCCACTCGCACACGTCCACCCACTCGAACGCGTCCCACTTGAGTTTATTTTGTTTTAACCTGGGTGGGAAGTCGAGAGACCAGAAGAGTCTCATTTGCAAGAGTGACCTTGGTCACCAAATTTACTCTGTGGGATAAAAACAAAACACAGCAATGAGAATAAAACGTGATCACAACATAACTATCACGTTACAGGAGGAATAGAATTTACTGCACAATTTGTACACTGGCATTAAATGAGATAACATTTTGTCGAACGTAAGTCGGCTTGCTTTGTTTGAGCCGCCCCAAACGAAAGAGGGAGCTCGAGCGCCGCGGGAACCCGGGGGGCGGCTGTCGCTGCGCTTGGCGCCTTTGTGCACGGAACGTCTCTCATTAAACGTGGCGTGCCCGACTGCCTCCCTGCACTCGTTACGGAGCGAGACGTTCCGATCAGCCCCTGGCTGAGATTGCCGTGCGATCATGTCACAAAACGCACAGGGACCGTTTTATCAGAAGGGACATTTACTTTGCGTGTTTGTTCAGTTCTTTTTTTATGTGCCTTATGCAGCAGCGCAGCCGTTAGATGTCCATTTGTAAGTAATTCAGCTGTTCGGTTGCTTTGACAGTTGGTGAATTGCAGACGCACCCCACCCTCCGCCATCATGTGTTATATTAGAGGCTGTGCCAGGTTATTTGGTCCACGGTTTGGAGTTCGTAGCCGCAGTCGTAGACAGAAGTGTCTTTGATTTTTTTCACTTGATGCATTAGGTATCCGCATCTTCCGCATCTGTTCTGTTGACAAAAGAGAACAACTCCAAACAGGAAATGCCTCCCCAAACAGGAAATACCTGCCACAGCAAGGAACCATCTTGATAAGCCGTGCAGATCCACGGGAGAATTTTCGTGCTCGCATGAGTGGTTAGCGCGTCATGGTCAGAGGGCTGTCGCTCGAGTGGGTGCGGTGAGTGGTTAGGTCCCTGTGTGATCGTGGTTGGTGGTCAAAGCCTGCACACTTGTTGGGGTTGTTTATAACGAACACTGCGGTCGCGGACGGGACTTTAGTGGTCACGGTCGCTGCGTCGACGGTTGCGGTTGACGAATGGCATTTGCACAGTGGTGGTTGTGATTGGGGGCCCACGTGTTTGGCTGTTGGGCGTGCGTGGTGCCAGCTGGTTCAACGAAGATGCCAGCCACGAGAGATGTCGATGTCCTTGCTGCTGCCTGCACGGTGACCCCGAGGGCTTGATTGCATGGTAATTATGTCATGTGGTGAGATGATAATTACCATATGCGCGTTCACATTGTGCCGTGGAGCACACTACTGCATCAGCATTTAGCTTCCGAAATGAAGTTGCCCAGGCAACCGGGACATTGTTGAGTCAAACGTGATAATTATGAAAGAAATTACTATGCTAATTATCCTGAGCCACTTCCATTAAACAAGGCCGTTAATGGTAGATGAAGGAAATAACGAGCCATTTGGGATGCCTCGTGTCCAGTTTTAGCAGAGGACTGGTGTGCATACACATAATGTGTGGTGTGTGTGTGTGGTATGCGTGTGTGTTTTATACGTGCGTGTGCTTTTGTCTGCTTTTTCAGCACTTACAGTGCTGTTGAGCGCTTAGATTTTCACATCCCTGTCCTGTCCACAACTTTACCACTTAACGCCCGTGACATTTCAACGGTGCTTGTGTCAGGTTAGGTGCGCTTTGAGACCACACGAATTTCAAAGCCTCATTGGCAAGAGGTTGCGCCACAGTGGTATTATGGATTGACACCACTGCCACATGCACCTTACTCTCGCACACTCCCTACTCTTCCTGCGCCAGACTCGCCGTCTCACACTCCCTACACCACATTCCCTGTTCCACTCTCCCCTCTCTCTTTCCCGCACTCCCTGCCCCACACCTCCCACACTTTCCGTCTCACACTCCCTGTGCTGTCCACGCTTTTCTGTGGTTACGTTTCCCAGGTAAAGAAGCGCCTTCAGCGGTAGCGAGCGCGGCCAACGTGACGCGCGACGCCGCATTTAGCGGACGTGTGGCCGCGCGTTCTATTTGCGGGGCCCCGTTGGCTGCTCGCCCCCGTCCATGGGGAGGGTCCCACACGTGGGCCGGTCGCGTTTCTCCACCACGTCACTCCCTCCACCACTAACGATCGCCCCTTTACGTCATAGAATCCATTCTCATTAAAACGCGACGCGCGCACCTTGCCCGCCGACCCCCGTGCGTCTTTGCCGCCCACGTCCCAAGGTTAACGAATCACGTGCTGCTCAGACGCCACCCGGAGCACTGGCGGCCTCCGTGCCTGCGCCGCCACTGCCCCCCTACACACCCCCCGCCCCCCCGCCCCGCCTTGCCGGTGCCCCTCGACGGGTTCCTGTGGTACCCACCGGCACCCCCTCCCCCGTCCCCGTGCTTCCTCTGTTCTGACTGCCCCGCCGTGCTGCCCACAACCCCCCCTCTCCCCCTCTCCCCTGCAAAGGGAGACCAGTGTTAAAGGCTGCCAGTGTGACCTCGCAGAGTCTGCAATCGTTGTCGACAGCGAAAGGTTTCCGCATTCTCTGTAATGACTGTGGCTTTTTTGCCGTTCTGTCAGTTTATACCATGGAAAACTTGACTGCTGGTAGGTGTCTTCTTTAAAATGAACCCTCATCAGTGCTCATTCCCTTCGCCGTCTCTCCCCGTTCACATTCTGACCTCTCAAATTCACGGTTTCATTAGTCCTGCCTCCAGCGAGTGTAGAAAAATGCTGTGCCTGTGTTAACAGCGACTGCGCATTATATGGTAACCGTAATATTCTGCAATCCCGAGGTACTGTGACGGTACACTCATTCATGTGTGTGTATATACGCATGTGTATGTGCTTATATACACACACACACACACGCGCCATGCCGTCGAGTGGCTATCGACACGGCCATTTCCGTGGGTGTCACATGCCAGGCCAAGTGCCGTTGGCTCCGGCTCCCAATTTACCATTGTAAAGTCCACTCCAGGTTTTACCATCCCACCAGTGCCATCGAACCCCATGACGTGGTTGAGGGCAAGGTGGGGCTGGATGAGATGGAGCTGGATAAGGTGGGGCTCCAGGGCGCAGAGCGTGCGTGAAGCCCCGATTCCCGCGCTCCGGTCCTCGCAGACCCCCGCCTCCTCGTTAGTCCGGACGTCTCGTCTCGGCCGCCGTTGGAGCTGACGGCGTCAGAGCTGCTAAATCTTGCCTCGACAGCAACATCGCAGCGCTGCCACCGCTCGTTACGTCTGCTTTGACAGCTTAATTGGCCGTTAATACGGTTACAATTCGACTGCATTAAACTGAGCAGCTCGCCCTACTCGCCCAGCGTTTACAAGTCGATGTGAATTGAATCTTGTTATAAAAAGGCAGAGGGAAACCTGGAGTGGATTTCTTTGGAGGCGGGAAGCGGATGGAGGTTGTGGCGCTGGAGGCGGCTCCATCTTGGCTGTTGTGTTGACCACGCGAGCACTGGCTGCTGGCCGTTGTCCCCCCGTCTCCATGCGTGCGCTGTGCCCTTCCAGAGCGGCTGTGCTTTCCATGGTATAAGCCAGCGGTGGCTGTCTGCATGTCCTGCCCACACTGCCCTGCCCTGTCTTGCCTTGCCTGCCCCCCCACCCCCCACCACTCCATGCCCATGCCGTGCTGTGAACTGTGCTTTTTCCTTGCCCGTTTGCCACCCTGCATCGGTGCCCTGCCCTGCAGTTTCATTGCCGGCCTTGCCCACTCCCACCAGTGACATTGATACGTTGTCGTGCCATGTCATGCCATGCCCTCTCGTGTGCCCTCTGCCCCTTTCCATGCCTCCATTCATTCTTCATCGCTCCCCCCCCATTGCCTGGCCTCTGTCTCAGACCACTGCCCCCCCACCTCCCCTTCAGTATAAGTGCGTCCGCCTCACCCTCGGCCCATCCCACATCACACCGAGCTGGTACTGTCCCGACCCTGGCCACCCTCAAGTTCAGATGATGAATGCGGGGCTCCTTACACAGCACCCACACGGTGTGTAGTGTGTGTTGTGCAAGGTATGGGGTATGGTATGTGATGTGTGGTGTGTTCGTGTAGTGTGCAGGGTGTGGTGTGCAGGGTGCGGTGTGTGGTGTGCAGGCTTCAGTGTGTGTAGTGTACAGTGTGCGGTGTCATGTAAGGAGCCCCAAACACAACTCCCTCTGTCACCAAACACAGGGCTGCTCTGCAGCCACTCCTGCAGTGTGGCCTCCTATAACAACATCAATATAATATTAGTACGATTAACACTTGTTGTACATTTGGAACTGATGCATTCTATTCCCTTACTGAAGTTAACGTTCCTCGTATGCGTGGTGTGAGATGCCGTGAGTAACCCATGTTAAATAAAGCTTCAGTCGTGAAGTGATGAGCGTTTAACCCCCTCCAGCCGCGGTGACGTCCTCACTGCAGCACACACACGCACGTGCCCACAACTACACGCCCCCAGCTGTGACCACCACCACGTCTCGTGACCTCCTCACGTGTGTCCATAGCCTTCCGCACGCGTTTGGCACCGTCTCCGTGTGTCCGTAGCTCCCACCACTTGACCACAGACGTGTGAACGTGACCGTGTCCACAGGTGCATGACCATCACCATTACACGGGCCAGTGTTGCCAAGTCGGTGATTGTTTTCATGACGAATCGAGTAACTTTTTTGGATCTCTCCAGCAATAAAGAAGTTGACAGCGATGAGCGAAAATACCCACCGACTTTTTGGGATGAGGTCTTTATGCAGATTAAGGAGATATTTCGGTCCACTTGAAGACGCTGTTCCGTGAGCTATACTGCTCCTGCAGTATCACCCAGATAACGGAGTTTCGGGCAATGGCTGTTCTTCACAGCAGGTTTAGGAACCTGACTCAGCTTACCGAGTGTAATGCTTGGTAAATTGTCGAGTGGCATATTTTTGACAAATTTGGAATTTCTGCCTTGTCACGTCCAGTGACATTTGAGGTTCGTTTGACGACGTTTCACATTGACGAGCTGGCAAGAGCAAGCTTACGTCACTGCCTCTTGACACATGTCCGTGACCAGACTCACGTGATCATCGCCCTCGTCTACGTGACGGCCAACTCGTGTACATGACTGGTCACGTGAGACCGCCCACACACGCGTATGTGACCACACACGTGCGTTGGTGACGGTAAACACACACGTGAAGTGACCGCACATGCACACGCACACACATGCACGTGACCGCACACACACACGTCCACGTGACCCGCGAGCTGTGCGGGACGTATGCCACACTCGGCGCGCCGCACGCGGTGATGCCGATGCGACTTGCGATGGGAGACCTGGGGCCTCGCCGCCCTCTCACCCGCCCACCCGCGCCCGTGTGCAGGTACGGACACTTCTCGGGCATAAACCGCAAGGTGCAGATCACCTATCTGCCCCACGGGCAGCCGCGCACCTCCAGCGAGGACGACGGTAAGGCCCCTCGCAACCCTCGACCCCAGCATGCGGGAACCCCCGAACCCTTAGGAGAACTCCCTGAGCCCTTGTTGTAACCGGGCCTGAGAAGGTGGCTGTCTCCTGCAAGGTGACGCCCTACGGGATGATTTTTGTGGAGACCTTGTCCGTTTTATTTCGTCTGAACCCTTATAAAGTGTCCCCTTCCAACCATGCCTGGCCACCGCTTGGCCCCCTTGCCTCATGCTATTCCGTGACCCCCATTACTTCGTGCGCCCCATCCTCTTTGTCAAGTTCCCCATGTGACCTCATTGCTCGTCAACCGGTTGTGGTTGTGGGCCGAGGCGTGATGGTTGCGTGGTGGTAGTGGTGGTGGCACGGAACATAGTTGCAGTGGCACAAAGTGTAGTTGCGGTTCTAACGGCAGGGCGTGGTTGCGTGCATGTCACTGCTATGTGTGACGGCGCGGCTGTGCGGGCACCACAGACGTGCGCAAGGAGGAGCCGTCGCTGCTGTTGGTGCTCAAGTGGGGCGGGGAGCTGACGCCGACGGGACGCGTGCAGGCCGAGGAGCTGGGCCGCGCCTTCCGCTGCATGTACCCAGGCGGGCAGGGTACGTACACACATCGCACTCACACACCACACTCACACCGCAATCACACACCATGCTCTCACCACCCTCACACACCGGTGTACATATGCCATGCAGGCATGCACCATGCATGCATACAGCACCTGCATTCACACACCGTGCATGCACCTGTGCTCACACACCCCATACCCCAACATATTCACACAGCACATCAACAGAATCATATAAAAAAACGTTATATGCACGATAGAGTACACACCAGTGCAACTCATTTTGCGTAAATAACTACAAAATAGACACACACAGCATCACATAAAGACATGTGGACCCTCATCTTGCTGTACAGTGGGGACATGAATACACACATGTTCCATTATCACCACACACACACACACACATCTATATCCTCACCAAACAAACTCCATCATCATCACCACACACACAGCACCACATCTATATCACACGCACATACACACTCCATCATCACACACAATTTCATACAAACATATAGACTATCACCATCATCACCATACTTTCAGTGCCAGAAACACCATTATCACACACACACACACGTCCCACCATTACCACACACACAAACGCACGCACAGCTTCACAGCACGCACACGCACGCATGTTGGGTTCCACTAACTGACGTGCGGTGAGGGTGTTACCGGACGGCATGGGTGACCGCGTGGGTGACTGTGTGGGCATGCTCACCTTAACCCCCCCCCCCCCCCCCGGTGGTGGCGCTCCTCCCCCTCACAGACCCCCTGGAGTGTGTAACACCACCTTTGCTCACAGATGACGGTGGGTAAACCTCTCTGTCGGTCTCCGTTTGCTGATTCCACCACTAATCTCTCCCCAATTGCAGCCCTTTGCTTGACAAACGTGACGCAATCTGAGATGCCCGCGTGAATCTTGACGAGCGGCGATGATTCTTGACGGCCAATTGGGCCTCCGTGTTCTGCGAGGTGCGTGTGGGGCGAGCGGGCGTCCCCGTGATTGCCTCCCTGTGCTTGCTTTACCTGCGCGAGGAGGGAGTGAGCGAGAATCTTGCTTCCCTGGACGCTTCGTGTCTGAAACTCTTCGCTACCAATACCAGCTTTCTTCTCAATTCATCTCTTTGTGTTTCCAGGGATGATGATTATGTGTGATGGCATTTGTAACCCCTAAACCTTTGAGTCCCTTAAAGCAGCAATCATTGTTCGCTCGTGATTTCGAGCGTCCCACCCACGTGCCTTATGTTGGCTCCACGAGTGCCGCGTGTCCGCCCCGTCCTCCCCTGAGTTTTCTGTCTGTGGCTCGTTTTTTTGGCTGCAGCTGTTGGCACCCAAGGGCACAACGAGTGGAACTTCCATGCCTGGGCCGGGGAAGCTGCTTTTCCCATCCGCTAATTGCCCCGACCTGGCTGTCTCATTAAAACCACTTCACAGCATTAATTGCTGAGCCCCGCGCGGGTCCGCTGTCCCCAGGGTAACAGAGTGCGTTGGTTTCCGTGTTGTTATTCGCACTCGTCGCGCCCATCTCTCGTCCCGGGCTCCTGTTGCTAGGCAAAACCGCCACGTATTGCCTACTCTACGACAGCTCTGCTCGCCGGAAGGACACTCCTTCTCTTGTGGTGTCTGAAACGCTCCCCCCACTGGCCGTCCGTCCGCGCCGCTGGCCCGCTCGTGTGTCGTCACGGGACGCTTATTGGTTTTCTGTCCGTCTGTCTGCACGACTGTGCGTTGCTGGTAACGCAGCTCCCTCGCTGTGTGCCGAAACCTTAATCTCGGCGCGCCGGGTTGTGACATAGCAAGGCAGCAGCGGCCACACTTGAGTCATTAACGCGGTCCCTCTGAGCCCTGCACAGCTTGTGTTTTTATAGAATATATCCATCTTAGTTTTGTAAAGTGTCAAAACACTGCGTAGCGCTTTGGAGGGAGCCGGACGGCACTGTGGTGACACTACCTTACTCGCAATCTGATGATTGAGAATTGAAATCTCGGGTTGGAAGTCAGCTCAGCCCATTCACTCTGTGGGGTAAATAAAGTATGTTCCACTTTGGGAGATGTCAACAGTGGCCGTCCTGTGGAGAGACTGCCCACCGCCGTGGAAATGTTGAATTTCCACCACTGGCTGAGGGCTACCAAGATGGGTGAGTGCCACCCCATGCTCGTTTCATAACAGCGTCGCTCGCACTTGGAAAGAAAAATCGAGATACAATTGTATTTCAAGTGAAATCTTTTTCACTTGAAATATGACGTTTTCAAGTGTGTACATGAGGTGTCTAATTTTAGAGGCGGTGGTCATCAGAAACAAGGAAGGACATTTAAATTGTCGGCACTGCCATTGTACACTGCAGGGGGGGCGTGGGGGGGGGGTCCCCGTGCCGTGAGCGTGAATGTTACCCCCTCGCCTGTGAGCAGAAAACCTGATGTCACCGTGCCCTGGGACATGCGGCTCGGCTATATCTGCGGTATCGCCACCTCCGTGCCCCAAACATAACCCCTGATCCTTTCTTCTGACCTCGTGACCTCTTGTGCCTTTCCTGTGTGACCTTTTAGTGGAGGGTAGAGGCAGGTGTGGGTGCGAGTCGCCTATCAGCTGCGGTAAGCCCTCTCTCTGTCCCTCTCCACCAACTCCCTCCGCCTTTTCCGTCCCTCCGTCTCTCCCTCGCACCGCCTCTCCCTCCCTCCGTCTCCCATTAACCCGGTGTGATGCGCCCGGTGTGCACGCACACGCGCACGCTCGTGGTGCGCGACGTGACAGAGGCGGCTCTTAACAACCGTTTGCCTTAACGGGGCTTTTCCCAAGGGAGCCATTTCCTAACGATCAATTCCTCTTGCAGCCCTTCTCCCTGACGCTGGCTCACGCGGCTGGCGCGAGCGCTCACTCTCGCTCTTGTGCCCTCTATTTACATTTCCAGGAGCTTTTCTTCCGTGCCTTCTGCCCTCCCGGTCTTTTGTACTAATCTCAGAACCCCTTGGGACGAGCATCCCACATCATCGCTCATGGCACCCGTGAGGAGTTGTCGTGAGTGCCGCCCCGCACTGCAGCCGTAGAGACACCATTTCGCACGCAAACTCTCGCGTGGAAAATGACGTCTCTCGCTCATGGTCGCTGGTTGACTGTAGACCTCCGCTCCCCCGGCGATGGATGATAAAATTACTTTGTTGGAAATCAAGTGTATTGTTTTGTGATTAGACTGATCCCCATCATAGGCATGTGGAATGGTCACCAGATCACCAAGCAGATTAGCACTATCCTGAGCTTGTTTAAGCAGGGAGACACTTGATTTATTTTTTACTATTTCTGAAAATGCCTGACTACTGGTGGCTGGATGTCTGGATGACAAGGTGGCAGGGTGACATTGTAGCAGGGTGGCATAGTGATATAATTACAGGGTGGCAGAGTGGCAGAGTGGCAGGGTGGCGGTGGCAGGGTGGCAGAGTGGCAGGGTGACCGCGTGGCGGTGGCAGGGTGGCAGCTGGCTGGCGGTGTGAGAGCGTTGCCCGCGCGCTGCACTCGGTGTCTCCAACCCTCCCCTGTGCAATGCACACGGCGTTGCTCTCCTGTATAATACCGCAGTTTTAATGCCCCCTGGATATTGCTTTCATACAACTCACTCCTGCAATGTCCATGTGTAGCGTTACGCCATATATTATGTGTATATATATAAAAATAATGGTGATGAAAGTAATGCTAGAGGCAGTAAAAGACGTTTTGTGCGGTGATAGGTTCCACATTTTCCGCGTCGTGTTTTTATTTTTTATTGTCTCCCGCTGAACGGCTCGTAAAACATTTGCTACATTCGCATGCGGGAGTGATTAAATAACCCGTCGAGATTTCAATATCAATTATTGTGCCGCAGGATTTATGACTCGGAAAGTCAAGGGCACGCATACTGCCGTCTTCGAAAATGGGATAACGTTCAAAGTTTCCGAAGAAAAACCCTTGCCTTGCGTCTCTAGGATAGACTGTTGACAGACCCTGTGAACGCCCTGCATCGTGTATGATTCACCTGGCCTTGTGTTAAAGCCATCTTCTGCCTTGCTCGCCTGGACTTAGCAGTCCCAAGTCCGCAATGTTTCGTGTGTAAGCCATTTCTTCTGTGCCGTCTGTATATTTTGTCCATAATAGAGGATTTTTGAGTTAGATCGCGTAAATATAGATGTGTCGTTAAACCTGCCACCACCCGACACAGCCAATGAGTAAGGTTTGTCACGTAAATAAAACATGTAAATGTGTTCCTAGTCCAGCACTCCGGTGTGTAGGAGAGTAAACCCACAACATTTACAATTCGAGTACGATGTTTCGCCGGAAATTACAAAGTTTGCTAATTGGCTGTGTTGGGTGGTGGTGGGTTGAAGGACACATTTATATTTACGCGATCTAACCCAAAAAAACCTAATGGATAATATTGGTCGCGAAAGCCTCCTCCGTGTTAAACTGTATATTTTAAATCGGCCAAGTTTGTGTCTTCTATAAAAACCCTGTTCTCTGTGTGCGTCTTGTGCTGTCCGTCCACTCACCCCTGTGTTCTGTGTGTAAGCCATTTGTTCGCAATCCGTTTTCTCTGTGTAATTCTTGTGTCCTGTGCAAGCTGTCGTTTTGTTGGAAATGCTCCTGCTCATGGTCCAGGTTATCATGAGCGTGCTCCTATGTGTGGTTGTGTGTGCGTGTGCGTGCATTCTGCACTGCCTGTGTCTTTTGCATGCATCTGCCTATGCCATGTGCATGATCCTCAGCACTGGATTCACCATCTTATTTGAAGGTGGTGTGTCTGTGTGAGTGTGTGCGTATGTATGCTTGTGTGGGATTTTCTCTGTGTGTTGTACATGTATGCACTTGTGCGAGCTTGTGTGTGTGTTCGGATGTATGCGAGCGTGAGCTTGTTTGTGAGCTTGTCTGCGTGTACGTGCGTGTGTGTCTACGTGCGTGTGTATCGGAGCAGGTGACTACGCCGGCTTCCCAGGCTGCGGGCTCCTTCGCCTACACTCCACCTACCGGCACGACCTCAAGATCTACGCCTCTGATGAAGGCCGTGTTCAGATGACGGCCGCGGCCTTCGCCAAGGTGAGGACCACACACACGTGGTAAGTACGCGCGTGCAGGCATACGCAAACCGTAGTCACCTGTAGAGATACGCACACGTGCCCACACATTCACGTGTACAGACACAAACACGCACTCGCAGGCAACCACACGTACCCACGCGTACGAACACGCATGCCAATGCTTGCGCGATCACACGAGCAAACTCTCACCGCATGTTTGTGGTGGTGCGTGCTCACAGGGCCTGCTGGCGCTGGAGGGGGAGCTAACGCCCATCCTGGTGCAGATGGTGAAGAGCGCCAACATGAACGGGTTACTGGACTCGGACCATGACTCGCTGAGCACGTGCCAGCAGCGCGTCAAGCAGCGCCTCCACGACATCCTGCAGAGGGACCGTGACTTCATGGACGACGATTACACCAAGGTGACGCCCACTCGCCCGCCCACCCACTCACTCGCCCGCTCGCTTGCTCGCCCACTCACCAATACCAACAACACATCTGCTCACATACACAACACATTTACTATTAGCATACCTGTCTATAAACTCACAACAACAAAAAAACACTCTTGAACATTCTTAACCACCACCACTGACAACATGCTCAATACCACCACCACTTTCAACAACACACTTAACTGTCTGCTCACTGACCAATAACATACATACCCGTTTGCTCACCCCTTACCACCACCATCACTTAATTCACCCACACGCGCACTCTCCACCACCACAGTGTATACTAGCTCGCTCACGTTGTCTTTCATGAGCCGCTGATGGTGGTGGTGCTGGTCCCTGTGTGCTAATGTGCCACGGTGTTTTGTGTTTCCGGTGGTCTTGCCCAGCTGGCTCCTACAGCCAGCGTCTCCGTCATTGCGTCGATGCGTTCCATCCGGAACCCCGTGCAGACCTGCAACCAGGTGTACACGCTCATCCAGAGCCTCACCTCCCAGATCCGCAAGCGCATGGAGGATCCAAAGTCTTCAGGTTTGTGTGTGGGCACGTGGTTTTGTGTGTGTGGGTACGTAGTTTTGTTTGTGTGGGCACGTGGGTTTGTGTGTGTGGGCACGTGGGTTTGTGTGGGCATGCGTGCTGTGAGTGTGATCTTGTATTCAAGTAAGCAAGTTATGAGACGGAAGAAACTCGCATGTCATCATGCCACGGTGAAATGTAATAAAGCTGCGTGTCCACGTTCCGTGCCAGCACCATTCCGTCAGCTTGGCACCGCTTCCCTCCTTGCAGACATCCAGCTGTACCACAGCGAGACGCTGGAGCTGATGCTGCGGCGCTGGTGCAAGCTGGAGAGGGACTTCAAGCTGAAGAACGGGCGCTACGACATCAGCAAGATCCCCGACATCTACGACTGCATCAAGTACGACACACAGCACAACGCCGCGCTGGCACTGGAGGATACCACCGAGCTGCACCTGCTGTCCAAGGCGTTGGCGGACATCGTCATTCCGCAGGTGCGGCTGCGATGCACGAGCTTGCATGCATGTGTGTGCGTGCGTGTGTGAGTGTGTGAGTGCGTGAGTGCGTGTGCGTGTGTTAGTGCATGAGATGATTTACCCTTTGCGGAGCTGATCTCAACGCAGCTGACTGGTGTGCGACGACACGTGTTGAATACGAGCAGCACAATAGAAATACGATCGCCGACGCTAATTATAGCGGTGATGAATCCTGGATACGACAGGGCACGTTGAACTCGACAGCTCCTGATTAACTGACGGAAAAGCGCTCGGCCCTGACGTAGCTCCATGGCTTTGTTTCCTTCGTCACTTGTGAAGCAACAGACGCCCTCTCCGTCACTTAGCGGTGTTGCTAGGACACTGCAGGAAAGGCGGGAAAGGCTGCCGGTGTTGATATATGCAATATTTTCGGCATGTGCCATGGTCGCTTTGTTCTGATTTATGTTTATTGCATTGCTGTACTTGAAATTATTTAAATAGCTTTGGTCATTTTGGTGACCTGGGTTTCTCTTGCAAATGCGACTCATCCTGGTCTCTTGACGTCTTACCTGGTTAATCAAAATTCACTTTAAACCAGACCTGTGCCGTGCATGCGTGCGTGCTGCCGGCTGCCATAGGAGTACGGCCTGAGCCGCGAGGAGAAACTGGACATTGCGTTCAGTTACTGCCAGCCACTCATCTGCAAGATCCGGTCGGACTTACAACGTACGCAGGACGACGACACGGTCAACAAGCTGCACCCACTGTAAGCACACACGCATGCCCCGAGAGAAGTGTGCACGCGGACACGAACCACGACAACAAAGCACCGTTGAAGGCTGCCATGGCGCACGAGGGGGTGGCCCGGTCCTCTTTCTTTCCCCAGCGCCGATGTTTATTTACCACACGAGGTACTCATTTAAAGTTGAGTTAACCCAGGAGAGTCCTGAGACTGGTTCAGATATTTGTCACTGACGGCCGTGAGTGGAAATTGGAAGTCACTGTGCCACCGCTGCTCCTCACACGCATAGATACACACAGAGATGCATACCCACGCACAGCTATGCACCCGCACACAGAGTGACACATGTGTAGAGGTACGAACAGGATACAGAGATCCCTGTAAACCTTACAGACTGTAGTGGCAAGTCCTGTGAGCGAGGACCTGTTCAGGCCGAAATTTCAAATTCCACGCTACCAGGTACTTGTTTAAGGCAGAGTCGACCTAGAGGAAGCTGATGATCAGTTCACAAGTTGGCCACTGCTATCGGTCGTGAGTGGGAATTGAACTCGGGAATCCTGGGTTCGTGATGCGGCACGTCACCCGCTCCTCGTCGGTTGTGCTAGCAGGGCCGCCTGCCGGGCGGCCGCCGCGTGGCCCGTGTGAGGCCCGTGTGAGGCCCGTGTGAGGCCCGTGTGAGGCCCGTGTGAGGCCCGTGTGAGGCCCGTGTGAGGCCCGTGTGAGGCCCGTGTGAGGCCCGTGTGAGGCCCGTGTGAGGCCCGTGTGAGGCCCGTGTGAGGCCCGTGCTCTGGCGGCAGGCCGGCGGCGCGCCCGTGTCGAGGGCGGCGGTGCAAGCGTGGGTGCGTGCCGTGTGCTTGGCCGCAGGTACTCGCGCGGTGTGATGTCGCCGGAGCGGCACGTGCGCACGCGCCTTTACTTTACCAGCGAGAGCCACATGCACTCGCTGCTGTCACTGCTGCGCTACGGGGGGCTGCTCGACGTGAGTGCAGACACGTGCACACGCACGGCAGTGAGCACGAGCACACACAAGTGGATGCTCACGCCTGCACACCTTGCTGTCTTCAAGCTGTGCATGTTATCAGAGTGCTCGTGGTGGTGGTGAATGTGGTGGTGATGCACGGGTGTATTGGTGCGTTTGTGGTGTGCATGTGGGGTTGTGTTGTTGTTGTTCTGCTTGATTGGTATTGGTGGTGAATGTGTGTATGGTATTGGTGGTGAATGTGGGTGTGGTATTGGTGGTGAATGCGAGTGTGGCTATTGATAGTCGTGAATGTGTGTGGTGGTGATGGTGAGTGTAAGTGTGGCGGTGATGGTAGTGAATGTGAGCGTGTGGTATTGGTGGTGAATCTGAGTGTGGTGGCGATGCGTGTGGTGGTACAGGAGGAGAAGGACGAGCAGTGGATGCGCGCGATGAACTACCTGAGCGAGGTGACGGAGCTGAACTACATGACGCAAATCGTCATCATGCTCTATGAAGACCCTAACAAGGTAGCTTGCTGCCCATATGGGTCTATCTGGCGCTCCTGGACGTGCGCGAGGATGGGGGCTGTTTGGGTGTTTGGCGCGTGCCGTCGTGGTGACTCGTGGTGCGCTGTGACGTATTGTCATGGTCATCACGCGTGTCGTGTTGGTGACGTGCGGTATCTTTAACACGCGGCGTGACACGACGCTTGGCGTGCAGGACCCGTCCTCCGAGGAGCGCTTCCACGTGGAGCTGCACTTCAGCCCTGGGGTCAAGGGCACCGAGGGAGAGCGCAGCCACCCGGCGGGGTCAGGTTTCAGGCCGGCCTCCCGTGAGGTCAGCCCTTCCCCGACCCCACCCCTACCCCCGCCCCCACGGCACATCTCACGCGCACCGCTCGGCGGGGTTAGTCTGCTCATAAAAATCTGCATTTGCTTGTACCCCCCCTCCCCACGCATCCACCGTTCCTCCCCCCGCAGAGCGAGGGAGCCCCCCCACAGCAAGGCCCCCCGGACCCGGACGCGGCGCCACTCGCTCGCGACGAGGTGGACAATGCCACAGTGTGCCGACCTATGCCCTCTGACCCCATATTCATCCATCGTAGGTCGCCCCTCTGTAAGTCGAGGAAGGTCGGTTCCTTGGAAGTAAGTCGCCTCTCTTACACCTGGCCTCTTGCCTCCCGCAGGACACAACTGACACTTTTGATTGGAAAGCGAATGCGTAGAATCGTTTTGTAAATATATCCGCTGCGCATGGGGGCTGTACGTCGTGCGTGCCTAGCATCCATTTCCACACGTGCTCCACAGACACACGTGCTCCACGGACACACGTGCGTCACAGACACACGTGCGTCACAGACACACGTGCGTCACAGACACACGTGCGTCACAGACACACGTGCGTCACAGACACACGTGCGTCACAGACACGAATGCCATGAAGTGACTCGAGCGGGGCGGTGCGAGCCACGGTCCGTACTCCGCGCCAAGCGTCTCGGCGTTGCCCCAGCTCTGCTGTCTCCGTTCTCTTCCTCTGTCCTCCCCTCTCCCTGGATCTCTTTCTGCTCTCCGCCATCTCTGCCCATCGCTGTCTCGCCTCCGACCCCAGGACGACCCCCTGCACGGCGGCTTGAGCCCGGAGCCGGGCTGCGTGTGGGTGGCGCCCGTGCGGCTCCGTAGCACGTCGGCCGAATACCCCGCCCCCGGCTCCCCAAAATCCCTCGCCCTCTCCTCCATTCTCGCCTCCTGGCAGCAGGTGTCTGCGTTGTGTGCCCGTCGCTCTTCCCCGCCCCCGCCTCTCGCACACGCACGCAATACCTGACCCCCGCTCGCTGCCGACGTGCGGCCGACGTCCTAGAGAAGCTCAACCCTCCCCGCGTCGCGTGGACGGCGCGTCGCGCGTGGGGTGGTAGCGGGTCGCGGTCGTGGTTTCCTGCGCTTGGCATGCGTGCGGTGAGAGGCGACGGGCGTGTCGCTTGCATGGCTATTGGCCGCACTCGTTAACCACCCAGAGGTTGCCGTGGCGTGCCGTGCGCGTTGCAGGTAATGGCTAACGGAGGTTCGTGACATAACGGAAACGTTTTGCGGTGGCTCGTTGAGTTTGTTGCTGGCTGCTCGTGCTGTGACAAGATAACCTTGACACTAACGATGGCGTTGTCGCGATGTAACCAGTTCCAGCAAGTGCGAGTGAGTGTACAGGCGTGCGTGCACGCATGTGCACGTGAGCAATTATCCGTGGAATCAGTTGTTGTTGATGCCTTGAGTTAATTTGCTAAATTTACCCCCATTGCCCCACCGTCCCTCCTGTTCTCCACACCTCTCTGCCGCACCATGTGCTAACGAGCAGCGCTTCTGGTTCTCTGTCCCCACACAGGTTTTATCCGAAACGTCCGCGTTTCCAGGCGGCCCACGACGGCTCGCCGTGGCCACGCACGCAAGCAATGTCAAGCACAGCCAGGAGCCCAAGCACAGCGGCCTGGGTACGTGCCAGGGCGGCGTAGGGAGAAGGAGTCCCGATGCGCGATGACGGCGCCCAGTGGCGCCCAGTGAAGCCGTTCCGGCGGGGTTTTGAGAGGGCCACTAGCTGGGGAAGAGCAGGAGCCAAGAGTGGCGATCGCCGGCACTAGCGCGGCGGTCGGGGCGCCCTGCGCCGGGGACTCGGGGACATCGGTGCTGCGGTGCGGAGAGGCGACGTAGCCTCGGGTCAGACTAACGTCGTGTGAGCGGTAATTTGCATGTGTTGATCATGTGTTGGTCGTGTATAACCTCAGATGATTAACTCACGGAGATGATTAACTCGAGACGTTGTCAAGCCCCGAGCCCGAACGTGCCATGACCCGGTGTCACCACGAGCCGATCTCGGCCGCTCCGCCGTTGCTCAAACACGAGTGCATTTATGGCTTTCAAGCAGCCAGCATTTGTGGTTGACGTGCCCCGATTGCCGCCGGTCTCAGTCCAGCTGAGATCTCTCGGCTGTTTTTACGATCGCTCGTAGAGGCGGGAGAAGTGTTTTTCTGCTTTCGCTGGGATCATGCAGTCATGCTGGCCCAGGGCTTGACACGGGTGACACGGGCTGCCCTGTGCTCCACCGCCGTGTGCCACCGTCTCCCTGGGTGCCGACGTAACAGCCTCCGCTCCCATTACGGCGCAGCCCCCCATCCCACATCTAAAACCAACCCCCTTCTCAGCCTCCCCAACTCACATTTTCTAATCAAACTCCCTCCCCTGCCCCTCCTCACCCACTTATCCCTCGACCTCCCACTCACAACCGCTTCTCCGTAACCTTGCAACAATCATCTCGGCCATCCTCACCGGCCATTACCTACCGCTTCCCCCTTGGCATCCTCCCCCTGCTGCCCCATGTCCCACCCCCGCCCTGCCCGCACGCCCACGTGCTGCGCCCCGCGCCACCCCATGTGTGCCGCCGCCAGGGTCGCAGTGCGCTGGTCTGTTCAGCACCGCAGTGCTGGGGGGCTCCTCCAGTGCCCCCAACCTGCAGGATTACGCGCGAGCCAGTCGCAAAAAACTGGGGGCCGCCACCCTGCATTACGATGGTACGCACACACCCCCACTCGGCGCACACCACACGGGACCCGCACACACACGTCGCGCACCACAGAGGACCCGTACACACACGCAACACGCATGATGGTATACAACCACCACGCGGGACATGCACACCCACATACACACCACGCTGAAGCTGGGCATCCGTGCACTACACAACGAAGACAAAGATTTCCCGTATAGTCACACAGGCTGCTGGGGCAAGTACCGTTAACAGGCACCCATGAACACCGGCACGGTACACGAGTGGGTGGTGTGGCCAGAAACACACCCGCCTGCCTTTGTCTCTCCAGTGCTGATATGTACACATCGGACCGGGCACTATTTTGAGTCAACCTAGGAGAGGCCCAGGACCGGTTCAAATAACTGTCACTGGTGTTGGCCATGAGCAGGAATAAAACTCGCGTCTTTGGGTTCATAGCGCAGCTTGCTAACCACCACACTCCCGCTCCCCACGCAACGAGCACGCACTCCTGCACACGAACCCCCACTCCACGCAACATACAGACGCCACACACCACGACACACCTCGCACAGGAGACTCCCATGCTTCACACGGAGCTGACCTCGTAGTTGGACGTGGACGTCTGTAAGCGACTCTAGCCCATGCCACCCCAGCCCTTAGCTCGTGCAGCTGCAGTTGGACGATGAGATTTAGCGGCGCGTGCAGTTTTGAGGCTGCGTGTTCGAGGGGGAACTCCCAATCGGGCGCGTAGACGCGTGCTCCTGAACCCGGATCGCTTTGCTTGTAGCTCGGTCACCTTTCCACCGCTCGCCCGCCGACCTGCGCGGCTACGCGCACCGCCGACGCGTGGAAGCTTCACGCATGTACCGGTGTGTGCACAAGGCACGTTTGGTGCGCGGTGTGCACATGTGGCGAGCACGGTGTGGTGTGTATGTGTGGCGTGGCGTGTCGTGAACGTGGTGCATGCGGTGAGCATGGTGGAGCGTGGTGGGCATGCTGGGTGCCGCGTTGGAACTCCGAAACGGGACCCACACATCGTTGCACTCTCGCGTAATCCTACAGATCTCATTTAATAACTAACACCTCCTAACACAACCGTGCATATTCCGCAGCCAGTTTACGCTATAGAAAGGGTTTTTTTTGTCTGAAGTGTAAGACAGGAGAGCAGCCAGTGGTTATGGGAGTTGCCTCTTTGATGTGATATTTATTTCGCACCTCTGGGTTGTATTTCCCCACTTTCTGCGTGCGGTTGAAAACTGATCAAACACATCGGGCTTAGCCGCCACGGCCCAGGCACCACAGAGGGCGTTAACACTGATCTATGTGGACCGTACATCCTCACACACTGTGTATATACAGCATGTGTACCTGCAGATGCTTGCACGCATGAGGAACCTGCTCCTGCTGATTCTGCTACTGCTACAGATGCTGTTGCTGCTCCAGTTGCTAATGCTGCTACTGCTCCAGCTGTTGTTGCTGCTGCTGCAGCTGCAGCTACTGCTGCTGCAGGAGTCAATTGGGAGGATTTTCTGGCCTGGCCAGGGAGGCAATTTGCTATGCAGGGTTGGGGATATGCGGTGTGATGTGTGGTTCGGTGTGGTGTGTGCAGTGTGGTGAGTGGTGCGGTGTGGTGTGTGCGGTGTGGTGAGTGGAACGTGTGGTGTAGTAACTGCCTGCTGTACAGTAAGTGTGGTGTGTATATTGTGGTGCGCTGTGTCGTGTGGTGCGCTGTGCCGTTGGTGCCATGTGGTGTGCCTTGTCTGTAGTGCAGTGTGGTGTGCTCCGTGGGGTGGTGTGCTGTGTGCGCATTGGACGGTGTGTGCCGTGTGGCGTGATGCGTTGCGCGCGGCCTGGTGTGCCGTGCGAGTGGTGCGATGCGGGGTGCCCTGCTGAGCTGGCTGCATCCCCTCGGCAGGAGCGGCCCAGTGGCCCGGTCGCACTGGACGTGCGGCCGGCACGGCCTGGGTCGCCCTACGCGCCGACGCTTGGTTGCGGCAGGGCCTGGGAGGATGTTGAGACACCGTTTTCTCTCTTCCTCAGAGGCTTTGCGCAGCTCGCCTATAAAGCGGTTTTCTATCTCGTATGCCTGCTGCCCGACCAATGGTACGTCCGCTTGCCTTTCTGCTTTGACCACCCAAGCCACAGACTAACCCCAGCCCTGCCAGATCGACAACGGTGGCAGCCTCGTGGGCGAGGGTACTGCCTGGCCGACTGGTCCTGAATAAACCGGGAACTGGGAGGTGGGGGCAGGGGAGGCCTTCCGCCACCACTGACGGTCCGTGGGCGTGCCCCTGGGAAAATTACATCCTTGGTGCAAAGAGGAAATTTCTGTACAGAAAATTGAGGGCGGCAGGAGACATTGAGAGGCCCGTGCGGGATCTGGGAGGGCTGTGACTGACGTCGCGCGACGGGGCGGGTCGCGTCCCGCTGTGGTGACTAATTAACGTGCCGTGCCGTAACGATTAACGAGGGCTGTCACTCACCGCTCGCAACTGCACTGCTTCCCACACGACCGAGCTCACAGTCGCCATACCGGCAGCAATATCAACACCCACAACCTCTGCCACCATCACCAGCAGCGATGACGACACGCAGCCTCGCATACACAGCCGCAACTTTTTAACCTCGTATAACTCCCCGCTCGCAGCACGAACTTAACCGCACTTGTGAACACGCGCACGCACACGCTTCGGCGTGCCACCCTTGAGATTGTGTGCACCTGGCCACGGGCGAGCGAGATGTGCACAAGCACACCTCACCCCATTGGCTCACCACAGGCTGACGCGACTTGAGCAGCGTGGACAAGGTAGGGGGCAGTGATGTGCCTGGTGGCCTGGAGTTGAGGTCACTGGGCTCGTCACGTTGGGTCTCGGCTGATCGGTGAGCAAAGACGTCTCTGCGTGCCACAGCGGTGGTCGACAGCGCTGTTGAGCGGAGGTGTGCGTGCGGCGTGGGCTGAATTGTGAGCACCACGACGAACGCGGTGTTTTCCTGCCTTTGGGGTAGAGGCTGTGCGAGGGTTTGTGTTGACCGTAGTGATGAAGGTTGCCAGTGTGCTTATGTCTGGGTGAGCATGTGGTGTGTTTTGGCTGGGTCTGTGTGTGTGATGGTGGTTGTATCTTGTGGGTGGGTGTGCCTCCGGATATCTGGTCACCACTCGTCTCCATGCCGACCCTAATTCGCTACTTCGACATTTGCCACTGCCTCCAGACATGTGGCCGAGACTGCAGCTTCACGGCTTCAGATCTCAGGTCACACAGCATTAACGAGTGCCGGTGGGTACGGGGGTGGGGGGTGCCGCATGGGAATTAAGGGGGGGGGGAGCTCAACATTGGGGGAAGGCAGTGGGGGGCCCAGCATGGTGCGGTAGGGAGGAGAGGCGAATTTGGTGGAAGGAGGAGAGAGGACGGCGGAGGTGGCGTGTGAGAGAGCGCGCCAGAGGCTGCGTGGAGGCTGCGGTTCCTGTCGCCGTGGCCCCAGGGCGGGGACGTGATTGGCAGGCACCAATTAAAGAAAGGCCCAAAGCCGCTGGCTGTAAGCTCCCATCAAAGCCGGACCTCTCCATTTTCCCGCACCGCTCGTTAACCTCCATGTACTGTTGGCACCAAAAATTGCACCTGTCCCACTTATTCTGCAATCTCTAAACACGCCCTGTCCTCACACACGGCGTCCTGTCACCCTGTGCTCTCTCCCGTGCTGTCACTCAGGTTGTCTTCCGTGCTGCCGTGCGGTTCCACACGTTTATGTCACGGCGTTTCGCTCGTGGCTTCATGGGCACTTCCCTGCGCGCTTCTTCCAGATTGAATCTCATCTCCAGGTCTGCCCAGGGGGGGTCACCATGTGACCTCCGCTTTGAGGGGTCACGTTGTGACCCCTGCGTTGTCAGACGCGCCCTGGGTTGTGGACGCTTCCCGTTGTTTCCATCCTGCAGCCGAGACCATAGAGACGGACGCGCTGACACGCGAACGTGCGAACCCGGCCCGTGCGTGGGTTCCACGTGGTCTCTATGGCCCCGAAGCCTCCCTCTCCTAACACCGTCGCTTCCTGTGGGGCAGTTATCACTTCCCTCTCACCTGACCCCTCCGGCCTCACCTCCTACCCTAACGTTTCCCCCATTCCTGGCATCCCCTCCCTCCAACCCCTCCCCCCCACCCTCCTGGCCCCACCCCCGCGGCCCAACAGACATCCCCCAGGAGCTGCTGTTCCTGCTGTCCCAGGGCAGCGGCTCAGCCGACAGCTCGCTGCTGCAGCACCTGTGCCACTGCTCCGAGCACCAAAAGCTGCTCAAGCGCTGGTCCATCTCCAACCTGGACCTGCTCGCCTGCCTCTACGGGGGTATGCGCGGGCGGCGCGGCCACACCCCGCTCGCCGAGCCCCCCCCGCCTCCCCTCCTCTCCTCCTTCCCACACCGCCCCCCCCCGCCCCGCTACCCCTTACCGCCCATTACCATCGTCATTCGTGGCAGGGCGTGGGGGTAGACGCGCTCGGCATTGTGGAGTCGACTCCAGCCTCCTAACGAGATCGAGCGCGGAGCGACACGCAGCGGGTACGGTCCGCTGCGGACTACTCCGGCGCCAAGCTTAATTGACGTCAAGCGTTAATTGGCTTCGTTAGGGGCGACCTCGTCAGTAGAGGCCCCGCGTCCCCGTCTCATCCATGGCGGCACGGCTCTCCCACCGCCCGCCCCCTCTCCTCTCCCGCCTGTCCCCCCATCCCCCTCCCTCTCCTCGCTGCGCTACAATCCCTGCATGGCTGACTTGCGCACTGCCTGGAGCTCTTCCATTAACCACCTCTCCCCAGCAACTGCCGTCTGCTGTTACCGCTGTTGCTGTTGCTTGCTCTGCATGACGGTGCAATCTATCATCTCACCGAGACAAGGCGAGTGAGCCCTTTATCCACGAGCTGCTGCACCATCTAGCACGGCACATGTCATGCCCATTGCCGCTGTTGCTGCTGTGTCAGATGCACCCTGGCCGTGTCGGTTGTGCCCTGGCCACGTGCTTTGCATGGCCAGGAAGGCCCCATGACCTCACGTGTCACCCCACTGCAACCTCGTAGACAAATTTATACTGAACCCAACCTCATTGCACAAGAGGGAAAACTAAATAATGTAGCCACTGTAAATGTAATTCTAAGCCGGGCTCGAGTTGGGGCACATTTTTCACGTTCATTAATATTCCCCTATCTAATCCAGAGTTGGTAAAAGCTAATTGGAAAAATCAATTCACGTGCATAATTTATGTGTTGATGTAAATGCGACTCTTGCTAAGTTTGCCAATTTTTGGTCACGAATCTGCGGAAAAGCAATTTCTGCGAACGCGTGAGTGTGGATGCATCTGACCACAGCTCCTAGGTTAGAGCCCATGCCACTGACTTGGTGAGGCGAACGGACAGCAGCGCAGTCCGGCCTCCCCGGTAGCCGATCGGCTGAAACCGCGAGCACGATCCCCGTGCCTCCTCCCGGTCCGCCCAGGAGGAGCCCAGGCTGGAGGTGGGGTCCTGGGCCCCCCTTCCCCCCGGGTCCCACCACAGTGGCCCCCACGTGTCGTCGTCCCCAGGCCATCGTGCTGTGGTTCCTGCCCGCAGGAAGAGGCAGCGGTGGCGTTTGTGGGCCGCGCGGTGCGGCCCAGATGGGTCGGGTCTCGGTCTTGTCGTGGCTCTGGTCGATGTGGCCGTACAATTTAAAAGTCAACACAGACGCGTGTGTGGGTGTCCCAGTTTCTTGGAAGTTTCCCGTGATGCACGTGTCCTGCGTTGTGTACAGCGTTCCTGAAATACATCTGCATTTAGTCGTTGTGTAAATACTAACTGTATTGTCTTGTGTCACTTTGGTCGGGCGAAGCCCTTTGAGCCATGATGGCTGTTTCGTGGTTTGGAGCTGTGGATCTTCTCATCCTGGCTTAATTATAGCCCTGCCAGGGCTGAGCTGCCTGGCTTTGGGGGCGGCTGTGGTGACGGTGTGGGAATGGCTATGCAAGTGGATGAAGGGGGGGCGGCTGCTGTGAGGTTGGCTGGAAGGCATGTGAAGGCATGGGTTTGTGGCTGGCTCGCCTGATCCCCCCTGCCCTTACACTCTCCCTCTGCCCTAGTTCCCAGCTGGTTGCTGGGCGCTGGGCCCCCTGGCTGCCGTCTCTGGCCACTGTGGCCACGTGTGGGCCCCCAGCGCAGGCCAAGCCTCTTGGCCGTGCGTGCGTGCGTTTGTGCGTGTGTCACTGTGCATGTGGCCGTGTGCAGAGCGTTTGATCGACTTTGAGAAGGTGCTGTGTGTCCTATGCTTTGAAGGCCGTGTGTCTCTGGAGGGCCCTCGTCTCTTTGTGTGGGGCTTGAGAGTTCTAATCTGTGGAGCACCGAGAGCTGATTTTGAGTGCTCCGTGCGTGACAAGTGCCGTGTCTGTTGAGAGCGGGGTGTGTGTATGGTGTGTGACTGTGTATGGTGTGTGACTGTGTGTGCTGAGTGCCATGTGTGTTCTGAGCTCTGCTGGTGTGCCAAGTGCTTTGTGTGTGCCGAGTTCTGTTTGTGATGTGGAATGCTTCGTGTGTGTGGAGTTCTATGAGTGCTGAGCGCCATGAGTATGCCGAGTTCTGTGTGTGTGCCGAGTTCCATGTACGTGCCGAGTTCCGTGTGTGTGCTGAGGTCCGCGAGAGTGCTGAGTGCCGTGTGTGTGCCGAGTGCATTGTGCAGGCTTTGAAGGCTACTCCATGGTGCCGTCTATCTGCCCCTTGGAGACGCTGCACAACTCACTCTCCCTCAAGCAGATGGACGCGTTCCTCGCCACCGTTACGCACCTGAGCTGCGCCGCCAGCGCCGCCGGTGAGTTAGTAACATGCGAGGTCACCGTGCCCCCTGGTCGCCCGCTCACCTCTTTGCTCACGTGGCTATCCATTGGCTCACCCATCTGCCCGGTGATGCGATTGTCTGCTCACCTGACCACACGCCCATCTGCCCATTTGTTCGCCAAACGGTAATCTGTTGATGCGCTCGCCATGCCCATCCACACACCTCACTGCCAACTCGGATGTCCATTAGCTCACCTGTTCAGCCACCCATCCAGGCTTTCAACTTACCGTGGGCTCACCTTGCTGTCCACTCACTGAGTCACCGGCACACCTGTCCATCTGCTCACCTGGCCGTTTGCTCGCCTATCGGCCCGCATGCGTGCAGGTGGTCGCAGCTGCCCGTGCAGGTGCCAGGGGGAGTCGACGGGAACTCGCCGCTCCCCGCCATCCTCCCTGCCGCTGCCGTGCAGCGACAAGCCGCCCTGGTGTACGCACGCACGCCCTCGCTCACCCTCGCTCACCCTCGCTCACCCTCGCTCACTCTCGCTCACCCTCGCTCACCCTCGCTCACCCTCGCTCACCCTCGCTCGCTTGACATCGCTCACTTGCACACACACCTTCCCTGCTCACCCTCACTCACTCTCCCTCGCTCACCGTCTCCATCCTTCTCTCACCCTCCCTTGCTCGACATAATTCGAGCGCATGCCCGCACTCACACATGCCCGCACTCACACATGCCCGCACTCACACATGCACGCACTCACACATGCACACACTCACACATGCCCGCACTCACACATGCACGCACTCACACATGCACACACTCACACATGCCCGCACTCACACATGCCCGCACTCACACATGCACACACTCACACATGCACGCACTCACACATGCACACACTCACACATGCACGCACTCACACATGCCCGCACTCACACATGCACGCACTCACACATGCACGCACTCACACATGCACACACTCACACATGCACGCACTCACACATGCCCGCACTCACACATGCCCGCACTCACACATGCCCGCACTCACACATGCACGCACTCACACATGCACACACTCACACATGCCCGCACTCACACATGCACGCACTCACACATGCACGCACTCACACATGCCCGCACTCACACATGCCCGCACTCACACATGCCCGCACTCACACATGCACGCACTCACACATGCACACACTCACACATGCACGCACTCACACATGCCCGCACTCACACATGCCCGCACTCACACATGCCCGCACTCACACATGCACGCACTCACACATGCACACACTCACACATGCCCGCACTCACACATGCACGCACTCACACATGCACGCACTCACACATGCCCGCACTCACACATGCCCGCACTCACACATGCCCGCACTCACACATGCACACACTCACACATGCACACACTCACACATGCACGCACTCACACATGCACGCACTCACACATGCACACACTCACACATGCACGCACTCACACATGCACGCACTCACACATGCCCGCACTCACACATGCCCGCACTCACACATGCCCGCACTCACACATGCCCGCACTCACACATGCACGCACTCACACATGCACGCACTCACACATGCACACACTCACACATGCCCGCACTCACACATGCACGCACTCACACATGCACGCACTCACACATGCACACACTCACACATGCACACACTCACACATGCACGCACTCACACATGCACGCACTCACACATGCCCGCACTCACACATGCCCGCACTCACACATGCCCGCACTCACACATGCACGCACTCACACATGCACACACTCACACATGCACACACTCACACATGCCCGCACTCACACATGCACGCACTCACACATGCACGCACTCACACATGCACGCACTCACATATGCACACACTTACACATGCCCGCACTCACACATGCACGCACTCACACATGCACGCACTCACACATGCACACACTTACACATGCCCGCACTCACACATGCACGCACTCACACATGCACACACTCACACATGCACACACTCACACATGCCCGCACTCACACATGCACGCACTCACACATGCACGCACTCACACATGCACGCACTCACATATGCACACACTTACACATGCCCGCACTCACACATGCACGCACTCACACATGCACGCACTCACATATGCACACACTTACACATGCCCGCACTCACACATGCACGCACTCACACATGCACGCACTCACATATGCACACACTTACACATGTCCGCACTCACACATGCACGCACTCACACATGCACGCACTCACATATGCACACACTTACACATGCCCGCACTCACACATGCACGCACTCACACATGCACGCACTCACATATGCACGCACTCACACATGCACGCACTCACACATGCACGCACTCACATATGCACACACTCACACATGCACGCACTCACACATGCACGCACTCACACATGCACGCACTCACACATGCACACACTCACACATGCACGCACTCACACATGCACGCACTCACATATGCACACACTTACACATGCCCGCACTCACACATGCACGCACTCACACATGCACGCACTCACATATGCTCACCCTTGCTCACCCTCACTCATCCTTGCTCACCCTCCCTCACAAGACATTACTCGCTCGCTCGCTCACTCGCACGCACGAACACACCCACTCACCCTTGCAGGCCCACACACGCCCACGGGCTCACACGCACGCCCACACATGCCCCCTCTCTTCCCGCTAACGAGGCGGCGCGTTAAAACGCCACGGCCGTGTGTGCGCCAACGCTTATCGCCCTCATCAGCCGCGCTCGCCCCGCAGGAGCAGCTCTCACGAAAATCGAGAAAACTTAGCGACGTCCAATCAGCGCCAAAGCGAGCGCTCGTCCAAGAGCGTGTGGGGCGGTGCTCGTCTCCACGGGCAAGCTCGAGCCAGTGGTGGAGTGCCGCACGGTGGCACACACCTGCGGAAGCGCCCTCCTGAACAGTGGCCTTGAGACTCGGTGGAGCCTTCCGGGGTAATGTTATTACAGGTGCCGTGTTCCTGCCATCCGACGCTCCGTGCGCCGTGTTGTGGAGTTACCCTGGGCTCGTATTAAATGCAGGGGTTTCCATGCCCTGACCTTGACCCTGACTTTGCGTGACCCTTCCAGGCAGCAGCGGCCCCTCGAGCGCGGTGTCGAGCGCGGGGCCCTCCTCCCCCACGGCCTCCGAGCCCTCGCTGCACTTCGGAGCCTCGCTCACGTCGCAGAGCTCCGACGACAAAACCATGGACCCGGGACAGAGCTCCGAGCCGGGGCTCGTGATCGCAGGGCAGAGCTCCAAGGTGGGGCTCGTGATCGCAGGGCAGAGCTCCAAGGTGGGGCCCTTGGGGTCGGGACACAGCTCCGAGGGGGGGCTCACGGACAGTCCGTCGTTCGACTCCCCAGAGGAGCGAAGTTTGTCTCAGCCCAGCAGCACGGCGAGCGCGGACGCCGGGGTGTAGCCCTCGCTGGACATGAGACGGAGCCATCGTCGAGTGGCTGCCCGCTGCCGCTGCCGCTGCTGCTGCCGCTGCTGTTGCGGCATGGTGCCCTGCTGCCAGTGTGGGGTTGGCTGTGCAGTGCCCGGGCCTACTCTCTCCGCTGCCTGAGGAAAAACTCCTGATGCGCCACAGGCATCGCCGCGCATTGAGGAGGCACTTGTTGGATGGAAAGCACATAGACGCGCAGTAACGGTCGTACATACACAAGACATGCAGAGCAATCACAAGTGAGACCCACCCAGTCACACACAAACACGCGTTCAAGATGCACAACAACAACAGCCGCCATTTGCCACCTAGTGGCGATGACGTCACAGCGGCACTCGTGCCGGGCGAGATGCACTTTGAGGGCACGCTCGGCGTCGGGGCAGAGCCGGGTGTGACGGGTTAAGTGACTGAGATGGCTGACAGATGCACACAGATACCGTTGCGTCTAGTTAAACACACAGTCACACAATCATACACATACAAACACGCAGATACACCACCCACAGTAGCACATGTACATACACCTAATCGCACACCACTCGTGCATACGGACAATAGACACGCACGTTGGGACACGTACAGTCAGACATGCGTTGACACAAAAACATCCATGTCTATCATTACAGGCAGTTGGGGCAGGTGCTGTTAGTGAACACCTATTATGATGGGGTGACGTGGCCTGACCCCCACGCCTTTATCTCCATTTTAACGACGTTTGCACTCCACAACACGCATTCAAGTCCGTGTCAAGCTCGGGGAGGCCCCTGAACGGTTCAGATATCTATCGATCAGCACCGATAGTGGCCGTGAATCTAACGCAGCTTGCCGCTGGGTTCACGGCACAGCACGCTAACCACTGTGCCACCGCTCGCCACACAGACGCGGACACGTAATCGTGCTCGCTCGCTTGTCATCGGAGAGACGTGCACGCCTCGATATCAGGCCGCGCGGCCGCCGCGTGTGTTTTGTCAAAACAGTGCGCGGAACTCGAGGCCCGTGACGAGGCGAGCGGCGCGTGGGAGCCGTTGCGCCCTGCGCTCGCGCGCGTCCCCACGGGGCCGCGGCGGCGTCCTCCTCCTCGTCGTCGTCGCGGACGTTGCCGCGGCGACGTTGACGTGCCGAGCGGGCGGGTTTGGATGCACCGCGTGTGCTTTGCCGGCGGTGGCCTGCGCGATGTTCGCGGGTTTTAGGTTTTATGTGTTCCGATTGTTGTACCCTCACACGATGGCACATGCACTGAATTAATATATAAACGTACGGCGTGTGAATGTCACGAGGAGCCCACGCGTGTCTCGTTGATTGATGGGTGGCGTGGCGAGCGGGGACGAGGCGAGCCCCCCCCCCCCCCCCAGCAGCAAGGTGAAGAGGGATGCGCTGGAGAGTGCCGGTCGTGTTCTTTAACAAAGCGGAAATTAGTCACCTTCGCAGAACTTACAGGCAGCTAAGTTAAACGTTTCATTCAGAAGGATTTCTCATTCACCAAACTCAATACAATCAACCCACTATCGTAATAAGCGGTCTTATATACAGATACCAGCTTGACTACCCGGCTTCGCCCGGGACTTGAATTCACCACGACCGGCCGCCTTTGTCTCCCCAGTGGCGATGTCGACACACCACACCAGTTACTCGTTTGAGACTGAGTCGACCTAGGGGAGGCCGAGGACCGGTTCAAATAATCGTCACCGGCCGTGAGCGGGAATCGAACTCGGGTCGCCGGGTTCGCAGCGCAGCGTGCGAATCGCTACGCAGTCGCTGCCCCCCCCCCCCCACACACAGGATAAAGGCAAAGATCCCCCGTGTAGCCTGTGAGACTGTAGGGGGCAAGTGCTGTTAGCGAGCACCTATGAAGGCCGGCACAGCACACGAGGGGGTGGGTGGCCAGCACCACGCCCGGCCGCCTTTGTCTCCCCAGTGGCGATGTTCACACACCACACCAGTTACTCGTTTGAGGCTGAGTCGACCTAGGGGAGGCCCAGGACCGGTTCAAATAATCGTGACCACTGGTGGCCGTGAGCAGGAATGATACTCGGGTCGCCGGGTTCGTAGCGCAGCGCGCTAACCACTACACCACCGCTCCCCACACGCGCGCGTCCATAGGGACACATACACGCGCTTGCTGCAGGCACACTCAACTTTCAGGGTGCGTACGGCAGTAAACGACTCCAATAATAAACCAATGCTGCGCGAAGAACGCCTTAGAGCTGCAACACATTTGTATTTCACTTTACCCGCGGAGGGTTGGGGGGAGTCATCAGCAGGCACACTCCGTTACGCTTCCACATACGGGTCACATGGCAGATGTGACGTCACAGCTCACTTGCCGTGCTAAATAGATGCATTATTGCGCCCCCCCCCCCCCTCCAAAAATATACAAACGTCTATTTTTATTATGTTTGCATGGTGTACAGTCTGCATGTCGGGAAGTATGCTAAACATTTCGAACAGACACATTCACAAATGTCCCTTTTATATTTATAGATATATCATGTTATAATCTCTACGCTTGCTTACCTAGGAGAGCCATCATCTACCACATTCTGTCCAGTACCTGTGCGGTCACCACCTCTTCACGGCCATGCGATGCCACAACTCCGTCTCGCACCTGCACGTCGTTGACATCGCCGCTGCGTCTCTACTGTGGCCGTCCTTTCTGTGTGTGGCACGCGACGGCTGCCGTGGTCACCGGCCTTGGACCTCGCCCTTCTTACCCTCCGGCCACAGAATCAGAATATTTATGTATACTGGAGGATTCCGATGAGCTGTAAAGCAATTTTTCACAGATGTCCGGTATTCACGATGCGTTCTGCCCAAGCCCCCTTTCGTGAACAGGCGACGATGTTTCTCGCTCTAAGTCCAAGCATTCACCTCCATGCTGCTTTGCGCAATTTCTAGTGTTTGTTCCGACTTCTTTGCCGATGTCCGTGCGTCGGATCTGTCCGTCCTCGTGGGGAACAATGCACCGATGCCAAACTGTGGCTTTTGAAGCGTGTCGCTGTCTTGCTTCTCGTTTCCAAATCTCATTTCTTCACGAGCACTCCAGCCTGGCTCTTGTTCGCTTGCCCCTCTGCTCAAATTCGGATTACGGTCCTCCAGCGATTTCCCTGGGTACACTTAATCTGCCGTGCGCTTTCAAGTTGCGTTCTTCCCAACAATTGTTCACTTTTGTTGAGCGAACTTTGCTCCGCCGAACTCTGTAAAACCGTGAGGTAAATAAAAGAGGAAAATTAGGGGACACAGCAAATGTAATCATTCCGTGAGGCGAACAATGGGGCCATGCGCACGGCAAATTGGAAGTTGGTTTGTAATTCGCGAGCAGTCGCCCTTGGAGATTGAGAAGGAGCCGTAATGCATGAGAGAGAGACAGAATCATAAATCCAGCAGAGCAGTTCTATGCAGATTTTTATAGCAAAAAAATACGTGTCCCGCAGGAAACAAATCATTATTTCAGGTAAGGAGCTGCGTTCAAATGTCAGACTGCAAGATGCAACCCCCGCCCTGCCCTTCACAGCACGAACAAGGGAAGCTCTTGGACCAGATGGAATCATCGTCACCATTACGCGTGTTTACCCGGGATGGAATTATTAGCAGCATCATCATCATTACGCGTGTGTACTCGAGGGGGAAGTTTCGTCGAGTATCTGGCTCTTTGTGTAGGAGGGTCCTGCCAAGTTTTCATGGAAGGGGGTGGCGATGTTGCTTCGGTGTGTGATCTCAATTGAGTAATTTGCAGGGTAAATTTTCACCATTGTGGGATGTTTTGGCCGATATCGGTCACATTATTATTCGGGATTACTTGTGGACACAAGGTATCGGGCGAAGCTTTTGGATCAAAATTAGCGGCCCTATTTACTTAACCTTTACCCTGGTGTGGAACGCTTCCGTCGTGGAATGATTTCGAAACAGGGGAGACGGAACCGATTTGAAGAATTACGGACCCCATTATTTGGCCCATCTAAAATTGTTCATGAGGATTACAGTGAAGCGAGTAATGAGGCCAGCCAAAGCACGCTTGCCAACTGGATTTATACAAGGCGTTTCTACAATTGACCACATTACATTTCCTACTATCAATCACATCCTGGGAAAAGGCTTGGATTTACAAGGACCCGTTCTGTCTGGCTGCTGTAGATTACGAAAAAGCATTCGATTCAATGGAAACGGATGCAGCCGTTCAAGAAGCCTCCTTGCAAATCAAGGCCTTTAAAAAAAAGAAGAAATTGAAATGAAAACCATCTATAATGAAGGAACGGCTGGCTACAGTGAAACGGCACAAAGAGGGTTATAATGACCACAAATCAGGAGTCGTGCCGCAAATCGGGGATCGCGCAAGTCGATTCGCTCTGTCCAGAAGGTGATGCACGGAAACTCCACGCGAGGGATTTGTGCGAGCGACTTGACGGCTTCAAGTGCCCGGTCCGCGCGCAAGGACATCACCAGTTGCACAGCAACAACTCTCGCCGTTCGCTCACCGCCTGCACAACCGCTTTGTTCACATCAGAGCGCGGAGTTGCGTGCAAAGGGAAATTAGACCGCGTGCAGTTCAGGATCGTAACAACCCAATGAAATGCGTCGAAGAAATCGACGCGCGTAATTGGAGTCTACTGTGAACGACCGGTTGCGGAGACGTCCACGTGTAAGCGATCCAGTTGCACGCAACCCAGTTGCACAGCCGATCGCTCAGGTGTGGACTCGCGTTCAGCGTCCCCCTTTGGAGCACGTGTGCCGCGCGCAGTTCCACAGGCCAAACACATCAAGCGGCCAGCAACAGGCAGCACTGTCAAAGTTGTAATAGAGAAGAACGTTACGCGTTTATTGAATTGAGAGCAAGGTTACTATGGCAGGAACTTGGGCAAAGAGATTATGATGGGTCGGAATTCCCTTGATTGAGCAGCGCGAGGAAAGAAGCAGCAGAGAAGTGTTGCGACCTGCAGTGTGGCGAGTGGATGGCTGGGTGACGGAGTGGGTGCAGGGTGAGTGAGTTGTTGTCACCGACAATCTGGTGGTTGACCACAGTGCGATGGATGAGACGAAACAGTGAGTCTGGGAGACTGAGTCCCCATCATGGGTGGAGGAAGCAACGAGTGTAGTTCACAGGGAACAGGAACCATAGTAATAGCAGCGATATCAGAGTGATAAGGGTGCGACTGGCTGCTGGTGAGCGAGGGAGTGGAGTGAATCACCGAGTGCTGAATCATCAATCAACGTGGACGTCCGGAATAAACCCCGCATTCGAGACCCAAACATCGCCCCGCCTCCTGGCTGCGACATTCATCCTCGAAGCCACCGGTGGAACCATCGACTGCATCAGAACACCAACAGGCCGGTGCTGAACCACGTCTCGCAGAAAGACACCGCCACAGTGGTGCGATTGTAGACTTGCAACCGGCACCATGGGCTGCGCAGTAACCCCACGGTGGGCCTGCGCTCCTCCAGCTGAGGAGTGACGGCAAAACGACGCGAACTCTCTCCCTGCTGAAGCCCTCCCGCCATGGCAGGCAGCAGAACGCTACATTGGCATCGAGCACCTGAACCACGCTGCTGCTGCTGCCGTCACGCGCGCGAGAGTCGAATCAACCCGACCGCGCGACTCTGAACTCGATCCACAGTGCAGGGGGTGGGTCGTTGTTACAGTCGCACGCAGCGTCACCTGCGCACTCCACTGCTGGCTGGTGCCTGCAGGGTGCGGGCTCCGGGCCGTCCCGGCTCGGGTCAAAGTCGGGGTCACTCCTCTGCTTCTCGCTCGGCTTCCCGCGAGGGAGATTAAACCCAAAACAATACCCCCCCTCGCCGCCGCCGAGCGCACCGCTCCGTAATTTGTTTTTGCGGGGTCGTGACCCCGCGAGAAGCTCGAGAGACCCCCTCCCCGAGACGCGAGCCCCCCCCCCCCTTCCCTGTCGAGCTCCCCCCCCCCCGCAGTTGAAGCGTCTGACGGGAGGCGCTCAGTTCATTTCCCACGTGAGAGTGGGGGTCTCGACCCCAGTCAGCCACCACCACCCTCCCCCCGCCCGACCCCAGGTTCGATTCCTGGCCCCGTGAATTGCCGTGGTATTTCAACTTGGCCTTCGCCACCCACCACCTCCACCCATCCCCCCTAGGTCGACTCGGCCTAAAATAGAATACAGTACAGTAGCCATCTTCTAGCCGCCGCGGTGGTGGTGGTCGTGTGCGCAGATTTGTGCAATGCGGTCATACAAATTGTGTAGCCAGGAAAACCTCAGAGTCTCGAGACCTGTTAATCAGGAGGGTCCTGCCATAGGGGATGTTTGGCCAATTCCTCTGTTAAATAAACCGCACGACTGCCAGCGGTAGTCTCTTATATTCTCGTCCCTCAAGAAAAAAATTACTGTTCAACTTTTTTCTTCGCATGTTCTATATAAAGGAAGCCTATACCTCCCAAATAAACCAGCTCCTGTGTTGTAGCCAGGGACCTGCTGGGTGTGAAGGACACACGCTGCAGGTCCAAGGAGCGCGCGTCTTCGTGGCGTGCTGGCGGGGCGCTGAGGCGCGAGAGGTTCGATTCCTGGCCCCGTGAGGTCGAGGTGTCGTGTGTTTGACGTTGGCACATTAACCCTGTGATCGAATTCGCGATTATTTCCATGATTCCTGTTGCACAACTCCTTGTATGGGCAAGCACACGCCCGGGGTGTCCTTACTTGGGAACGAGACACCGACTCCACACGATCATCATCCCCATGCTACCACTCCACAGTCGATGGGCTCATTCGATCGCTTTAAGAGAGATCGCCCGCTCGTGATGTTAAACGCTGCTGTTGTTGCTGTTGTTGTTGTTGTTTAACACAGACGTGGAGCTCTTCATCATCACCATCAGCCTTGATCGATTCCCGCTGGATGAAGGCTTCATCAATTCATAAAACATCATCGGGCCACAGTTGTGCTTGTGTTGAACCAATGATGCTGAAATTACGCCACTCCCGGCATGCCGTGTAGCTGATAGGATGTATAAAATCAGTTGCATTTTGTTACGTCGAGGAGACAGATATGGGAAGGAAACGAGTAATGTCTGCTTATAGTTATTGAGTAATAAATAATAACAATAGTAGGGGCTCTCAAACAGTGCCCCCCCCCCCCAGATATTGACAGAGGCCGCGTGCCCTTCAGGTGGCTGTCACGGCGTGGATGTGACCCGTAACGCCGCCACGCGTGTTCGGGGGGGGGGGGGGGACACCCAGGAGAGAGGGGGGGGGCACCATGATAGCCGGGTGGGACGCGGTGAGGCGCGCGAAGAATGAATCTCGGCAGGCGCCGCGTGCGTAATGAAGTGGCGCTGATGAATTGGTCTGTTGGAGCTGGTGGGGTCTGTTGGGCTGAACGGAAGTTGACTCGACCCCGCGGGGCCCGGCCTGCAGGGGAGTGCGGGGAAGGGGTCGCCTCTTCACGCGATCGCAGGGATGTGGTCGCGGTCAGGTGGCGAGGCAGGGCGCCGCTGGTGATGCGGGCGCGCGGCTACTCACCGAGGATCTGTCGTCGTAAATTCGCTCTGCAGTCAACTGATGAGCCAGATCCATAATGACAGTGACACGCAAACGTACTGAGGATGTATCAATCAGTGACACTGATCCGATGTCTCCTAACGATCCATTATGTGGGTGAATCAAGTGTAATCCAGCGAAGATCTCTCACAGGAGCGATACCAGTTAACTCCCCTGATCGTGAAATGTGTTGAATGTGTCGATGATCTCTAACCACGGCAAAGCCACCTGAGAGTCTGGCCGCGAAGCGAGTATCGTTCACCAGGAGGCGTCGCGCACTGCAGAAGGCGGCAGGTAAGCGGTCCGCGGCAATGCCGATGATCCACAATCTTGTCGACACCCCCCCGCCCCCGTGGGGTGACGCAGCCTCGCCCGTGGAGTCGTGAACCCTCGCTGCCGGCAGGGGGCGTTGGGCTAATTAGCATAACAATGCCCGCACTCGATTGTGACGATGTCCTTTGTCAGCCAGTGCGGGATGCTTGGGCTCGGCACGCCGGCGTCTCGATCCACCACGGCGCTGTCAGGTCCCGTCGCCCCAGCGCTGCCCTAACGCCGCTGCACGTGGCGAACAACCCAGTGGTGGAAACTCCACGTTCATATGGCGGGGCTACAGAAATGTATCAAGAAAACCACTGCTGGTTTCACACACACACATTGTGTAATCATCGTTGGACGACATCGTGAGGACTTTATGTAAGCACACACGCGACACAAATTCAAATAACCATTGAATAACACTCAACACATTGGTCAATAGCGTGACATGACGAAGGGTGATCACCTAAAACGTCGCCTATTTTTATACGTTGTAACTTTTAAGGCCCCGGCTGTGATTGACGAATGCTTTTAGTTTATTGAGTTATTTGCGCACCACTGCCAAGACAGCAGCGCCATATGAAGTATTTCGCCACAATCTGGTATCGAATTTACCTGCCGTGGCGCGGGTGGGGTGACCGTGATGATGAGTCGCGTGGCGGGGCCCCTGGCGCGCACTGCGCATGCGCGCGGTAGCCCGGCACCAGGAAGCGGCCGCGACCCTGTGCCGCGCCTGCGTCACGAGTCGAGGCGACTTCAAAGTTTTACTCTCGCCACAGAAACATTCTCATTGTTGTTATTGGTGTCGTCAATTACAACAACGACGCGTAAACAGCCACACCAGCGAGTAAACAACAAGTTAATAACTTCGTCAACAAGTAAACAAGCGGAATGGGCCAAGCCTCGAGTCAATTGGGAGCGAAGGAGCTGACGGAGTACCAGGTGAGGGTGGTGAGGTGATGGTGAGGTGATGGTGGTGAGGTGATGGTGAGGGTGGTGAGGTGAGGGTGGTGAGGATATGGTGGTGAGGTGAGGGTGGTGAGGTGATGGTGAGGTGATGGTGTGGATAGGGAGGTGAGGGTGAGGGTGGTGAGGTGAGGGTGGTGAGGATAGGGTGGTGAGGTGAGGGTGGTGAGGGTGGTGAGGTGAGGGTGGTGAGTTGATGGTGAGGTGATGGTGAGGTGAGGGTGGTGAGGATAGGGTGGTGAGGTGAGGTGAAGGTGAGGTGAGGGTGGTGAGGATAGGGTGGTGAGGTGAGGGTGGTGAGGGTGGTGAGGTGATGGTGAGGTGATGGTGGTGAGGTGAGGGTGGTGAAGGTGAGGGTGGTGAAGGTGGTGAGGGTGGTGAGGTGAGGGTGGTGAAGGTGGTGAGGGTGGTGAGGTGAGGGTGAGGTGAGGGTGGTGAGGTGAGGGTGGTGAGGTGAGGGTGGTGAGGTGAGGGTGAGGTGAGGGTGGTGAGGTGAGGGTGGTGAGGTGAGGGTGGTGAGGTGAGGGTGGTGAGGTGAGGGTGAGGTGAGGTGAGGGTGGTGAGGTGAGGGTGGTGAGGGGAGGGTGGTGAGGTGAGGGTGGTGAGGTGAGGGTGGTGAGGTGAGGGTGAGGTGATGGTGGTGAGGGTGGTGAGGTGAGGGTGGTGAGGGGAGGGAGGTGAGGGTGGTGAGGGTGGTGAGGGTGGTGAGGTGAGGCGAGGGTGAGGATGGTGAGGCAAGGGTGAGGTGAGGGTGGATGATGGTGAGTGAGGTAAGGGTGAGGTGAGGATGGGTGAGGTAAGGGTGGGTGAGGTGGTGAGGTGAGGTTGGATGAGGATGGGTGAGGCGAGGGTGAGGTGAGGGTGAGTGAGGTAATGGTGAATGAGTTGAGGGATGGCGGGGTGAGGGAGAGTTAGACCACAACGGCAGCTCGTTCGAGACTCGCTTCAATCATCATCATTCCTGTGTGCTGAATAAAACGAGTACCACTTCGTGAGAAGCCAACAGTTTTATGGATAGACTGACCTCTGCCATATGAACGTGGAATGTCCGCAAAGGTGGGTGAGATGAGTGTAGCTCATTTGAGAATCATAATATTTGAGAATCATTTGAGAATCATAATACGTATTTATTCTGGAGGAATCTGATGAGCTTTGAAGCTTTTTTTCACAGATGTGACGGGTGAGGGATGGTGTCTGTGTGCTGGTGAGGGAGCGAGTCTGTGTGGTGGTGAGGGATGGAGTCTGTGTGGTGGTGAGGGAGCGAGTCTGTGTGGTGGTGAGGGAGCGAGTCTGTGTGGTGGTGAGGGATGGTGTCTGTGTGGTGGTGAGGGAGCGAGTCTGTGTGGTGGTGAGGGATGGTGTCTGTGTGGTGGTGAGGGATGGAGTCTGTGTGGTGGTGAGGGATGGTGTCTGTGTGGTGGTGAGTGATGGTGTCTGTGTGGTGGTGAGGGATGGTGTCTGTGTGGTGGTGAAGGAGCGAGTCTGTGTGGTGGTGATGGATGGTGTCTGTGTGGTGGTGAGGGATGGTGTCTGTGTGGTGGTGAGGGAGCGAGTCTGTGTGGTGGTGAGGGATGGTGTCTGTGTGGTGGTGAGGGAGCGAGTCTGTGTGGTGGTGAGTGATGGTGTCTGTGTGGTGGTGAGGGATGGTGTCTGTGTGGTGGTGAGGGAGCGAGTCTGTGTGGTGGTGATGGATGGTGTCTGTGTGGTGGTGAGGGATGGTGTCTGTGTGGTGGTGAGGGAGCGAGTCTGTGTGGTGGTGAGGGATGGTGTCTGTGTGGTGGTGAGGGAGCGAGTCTGTGTGGTGGTGAGTGTTGGTGTCTGTGTGGTGGTGAGGGATGGTGTCTGTGTGGTGGTGAGGGAGCGAGTCTGTGTGGTGGTGAGGGATGGTGTCTGTGTGGTGGTGAGGGAGCGAGTCTGTGTGGTGGTGAGGGATGGTGTCTGTGTGGTGGTGAGGGATGGTGTCTGTGTAGTGGTGAGGGAGCGAGTCTGTGTGGTGGTGAGGGATGGAGTCTGTGTGGTGGTGAGGGAGCGAGTCTGTGTGGTGGTGAGGGATGGTGTCTGTGTGGTGGTGAGGGATGGAGTCTGTGTGGTGGTGAGGGATGGAGTCTGTGTGGTGGTGAGGGAGCGAGTCTGTGTGGTGGTGAGGGAGCGAGTCTGTGTGGTGGTGAGGGAGCGAGTCTGTGTGGTGGTGAGGGATGGTGTCTGTGTGGTGGTGAGGGATGGTGTCTGTGTGGTGGTGAGGGAGCGAGTCTGTGTGGTGGTGAGGGATGGTGTCTGTGTGGTGGTGAGGGATGGAGTCTGTGTGGTGGTGAGGGATGGTGTCTGTGTGGTGGTGAGTGATGGTGTCTGTGTGGTGGTGAAGGAGCGAGTCTGTGTGGTGGTGAGGGATGGTGTCTGTGTGGTGGTGAAGGAGCGAGTCTGTGTGGTGGTGATGGATGGTGTCTGTGTGGTGGTGAGGGATGGTGTCTGTGTGGTGGTGAGGGAGCGAGTCTGTGTGGTGGTGAGGGATGGTGTCTGTGTGGTGGTGAGGGATGGTGTCTGTGTGGTGGTGAGGGAGCGAGTCTGTGTGGTGGTGAGGGATGGTGTCTGTGTGGTGGTGAGGGATGGTGTCTGTGTGGTGGTGAGGGAGCGAGTCTGTGTGGTGGTGAGGGATGGTGTCTGTGTGGTGGTGAGGGAGCGAGTCTGTGTGGTGGTGAGGGATGGTGTCTGTGTGGTGGTGAGGGATGGTGTCTGTGTGGTGGTGAGGGAGCGAGTCTGTGTGGTGGTGAGGGATGGTGTCTGTGTGGTGGTGAGGGATGGTGTCTGTGTGGTGGTGAGGGATGGTGTCTGTGTGGTGGTGAGGGATGGTGTCTGTGTGGTGGTGAGGGAGCGAGTCTGTGTGGTGGTGAGGGATGGTGTCTGTGTGGTGGTGAGGGATGGTGTCTGTGTGGTGGTGAGGGATGGTGTCTGTGTGGTGGTGAGGGAGCGAGTCTGTGTGGTGGTGAGGGATGGTGTCTGTGTGGTGGTGAGGGAGCGAGTCTGGCTGAGGGGTGAGTGATGGGGGTGAGGTGGTGGTGTTTGACGTGCCTCTCAGCCACTTTAGATGTGACGTCATCATTCGTGGGCTCGCGGCGTGGCTCTCGAACGAGCGCCGCCGTCGACCACGGGAGGTGGACGAATTCGTCCATCTCCCGTGGTCGACGGTGAAGGCGGCCCCGGCGCTCGACCCATTCGGGACGAGCTATGAGGCACCTCGTCTTCATGGCGCTCGCCGAGAGAGACGGGGAGACGGAGAGGGGGGGGCGATCACAGGCTCAAACCACCCGGCGTGTTCCACAGATGATCCGTGTTCTTAAGAGCTGCAAACTGTAAACCCGAGATAATTGTCTTCAAACGACACCTTCTGCCCCCCCCCCCGCCGTGCTGTGAGGGTGATGGCGCAATGTTGACTGTGAGGTTGCCTAATTTGTGTAACTGCCCCCCGGGTGTGAACGAGCGAGGGAGGGAAGCGGATGGTGATGACGCTGTTGAGTGAGTGAATAATGGTGAGGAATGAGGGCGAGTGGAGCGGGAGGGTGTTGGTGAGGGCGTCATGGTGAGCATGTGAATGACGGAGCATGTGAATGACGGTGAGGGCGATGTCATTGAGATATATGGTTTACGGTTTTTTTTATGTTATTGCTTTTTACACTTTAGTGACCAAGGTCAAATGAGACTATTCTTGTTTGGAGTTCTCACCTGGTGAGACAATTAATGTTATGGTGAGGGTGTGGTTGAGAGAGTTGGTGTGATAGGGTGATGAGTCTCTTACGGTGTGTGTGGAGGGGTTACGCCACGAGGGAACGGCAGGACAAATGTGTTTTGGTGAGGCTGTGAGGGTAGGGGCCGAGGTGGCGTTTTCATGCCGTCGTGACTTGAGTGTTTCAGGGTTAGTGACGCACAGTGGGACACACAGGGGGCGCCGCACCCGAGTGACCCCATCTCACCCTCCGCATGTCTCACGATGCCCTGACCCCTTGCTGTCCGTGCTGTTGCAGGAGCTGACCTTCCTGACCAAGCAGGAGATCCTCATGTGAGTGCGGCCGCCTCGACCCGCACTGCACCGCTCACAACTTCACTGACACCGCCCCACACACCCTGTTCCCTTCCTATCCATTGCGGCATGCATCATGGAGGCGTATAGTGACAATAATCTGTCAAATGGTGACACGTGAGAGTGCTGTGGCGCGTGGTGGTAACGACGTGTCGTTTTGCCGGTGTTATGGAGCTGCGTGGTTTTGTGGTGCGGTGTGTGGTCACGTGGTAATGTGGTGTTGTGATGCACAGCGTGGAGGTGTACTGTAGTGCCGCATCGTGCGTTTGCGGGCCATGCGTGCAGGGCCGAGCGCCGGTTTCTGGAGATGGCGCGAGACCCCAAGGTGGACAATCACACGGTCAACATCGGTTCGGCCATAGTCAAGATGAGCACCCTCGTGGAGATGCCAGAGCTGAAGGTACGACACCAACCAGGCCCCCTCCCCCTAACGGATCACAAGCGGTCACCCGCTGCCACTGTGTGGTGCCATTCCAGCTATCCGAGTGGCCTGAGGCTTCACGACTTGTGGTGAGGGGTGTTTTGTGAAGTATTGTGGCATGGCGTCATGAGCTGTGCTGAGAGGGGTATATGTGACGAGGGGTGAGTGGTAAGAGGTACAATGGCTGTGGTGACCAGGGAATGGCAAACAGGTTCCATGAGAAGTGAGAAGTCGGTGGTGGGAGGTGGGTGCTTCGAGGTGCCGTGCGGTGTGGTGAGAGGCCGAGCGAGAGGGGACGAGTGGAGTCAGCGTTTGTGATGCCTCGCGACGGGACTGGTGCGAGTCTTCTTACTAAAACGGCCTTTTTTCCTCACCCCGTGACGGGACGGTGCGCAGGCGAACCCGTTCCGCGAGCGAATCTGCCGCGTGTTCAGCACGGCGAGCGGGGTGGGGGGCGAGGAGTGCGCCCTCTCCTTTGAGGATTTTCTCGACCTGCTGTCGGCCTTCAGCGACTCGGCCACGCCGGAGGTCAAGGCCTACTACGCCTTTCGCATATTCGGTGAGATTTCGGCGGTGTTGCGAGCAGGGACGCGAAGGCATTTGCCGGCGGCGGTGGTGCCGGCAAAGGGGGGGTGGTTCCATGAGCGGTTGTCGTGGCATGCAGGAGGGTGAGGTGTTCGAGCCGTGGTAGGTTTGGTTGAGCCACTGTGGTTGGTGTTACACAGATTTCGACGATGACGGGACGCTCAACAGTGAAGATCTGAAGAGGCTGGTGATGTGTCTCACGGGCGACGAGAACGCATTGTCGGAGGAGGACATGAACCAGCTCATCCAGAATGTGAGCTCGTTCACCGGCTCGCTCACGGGCTCGCTCACTAGCTCGCACGAGCACACGCGCACTAGTACAAAGATGCACTAGCACCAATAAAGACAAGACAAAGACTTTGAAAGGAGCTGTTGGGACAAGTGCTATTATCGAGGATCTACAGACACTCACACTTGAACACACACGTACAGCAGCGTACGCAATCACACACTCGCTTGCACTTGTGCTCGCACGCTTGCCCGCACACGCAATCGCACACTCGCTTACACATCGCGCTCTCACTTGCGCCCGCAATAGCACGCGCACTTGTGCTATCTCGCACGCTCACTTGCGCTAGAGCTCGCATGAACGTGCACGCGCATGCTGCCGCTGTTGTGATTTGTAAATTGTCTTCTGAGGGTTCCCTCGCCCACTCGGGAGAGCCGTCTGCCTCGCGCACTCACAGCTCGTTTTGGAGGAGCGCGCGCCGAGTCAACGGGAAGGCGCCGTCTAAAACGTCGTTGAGGAGAGGGGGGGGACGCTTGAGGGGCCACGGCCGCTCACCGCGCGGCGAGGGTCGTGCGGGGCCCCCGCAGCCGCCACTGCCGCTGCCCTCCGGCACAACCGAAACTCTCTTTCCCCAAGAAAAACATAAAGAACACGGCTCGTTTCAGGGATTTACACTTCCCCGAGGACGGAGGCTGCACTGCTGAGCTTACGGCTCCCAAATGCAAAACGATCAGCCCGGCTGATGCGGGCGGCGGTGGCGGAATACAGATTGCTCATCCGTGCCGAGTCGCCGCTCTTAACGCTGGCAAAAACCCTGTCTCTGTGGCGCTGAACAAAAGCCGTGCGAGGGCGTTAATTCCTAATTCCGCTTGGAGTCACATCGGACTTCCACACGCCCTCTGTCCCACCCCGGTGTAATTGGAAACTCCGGTTGAATTGATCATAAATGAGGCCTCGGTGTTGGGTGTGCAGCAGGCAGTGCGGTGTGCGGCATGTGGTGCGTAGAGTGTGTCGCGGTATGACAAATCAACGTGTAGAGTCGTGATCGAGATAAATCACGTGCTCGTGCTTCTAGTGAGATGACCATGTGTCCTGTAGTCACGCGATCGTGTGTCCTGTAGACCCGCAATCGTGTGCCCTGTAGTCACGTGATAATGTCCCTCAGATCCTGGTGGAGTCCGACATTGACCAGGACGGCACGGTGAACCTGTCTGAGTTCCAGCACGTTATCACCAAATCACCGGACTTCAGCAGGTGGGAGCTGCATACTAAACCACACACACCACACACACTACATACACACCACACACTACACCCCGCACACCACACACACCACACACTACATACACACCACACATTACACCCCGCACACCACACACCACACACTACATACACACCACACACTACACCCCGCACACCACACACTACACACCACACACCACAAACTACATACACACACCACACACTACACCCCGCACACCACACACTACATACACACCACACACACTACACCCCGCACACTACACCCCACACACCACACACTACATACACACCACACACTACACCCCGCACACCACACACTACACCCCGCACATGACACACTACACACTACGCACACTACACCCCGCACACCACACACTACACCCCGCACACCACACACTACACCCCGCACACCACACACTACACACGCTACACACACACCCCATACACTACATACACACCACACACTACAGCCCATACACCAAACACGATGCACACTACACCCCGCACAATACACCCCACCTACCAAATGCTACACACAACACCCACTACACCATACACTACAACACACACCTAACACACTACACCACACATTACACCAAACATTACATCCCACACACCATACACGACACTGCTGAACTGCACTACGCATCACATCGCACCGCACGCTGCACCCTGTGCTGCACCCTGCGCTGCACCCTGCACCGTGTGAAACGCTCCCCCCCCCACCAACCACTACCGCGCCCTACGCGACCCCTCAGCTGGTCGGCGCGTGGCTGGGATTTGCGAGCTCTCATTACCATGCGTCTAACGAGAAGCCCTCTGCTCTGCGCGTTACAGCTCCTTCAAGATCGTGCTGTAGGGGGCGGGAGACACCACCCCCCGCCGCCCCCTTCACTCCTCCTCACCTCCGAGTGTCAACATTCGGCACTGGACACACACTCCTCGCATCAACACGGCTTGATTCGTGCACACGCCAACACGTTCACGTACCAACATACATACCAACATACGCACCAACACGTACAGTTATACACCAACACACGACCAACACTATCTCACACCATAGCGTAGCATACCGACGTGCACGCTAGCACACACGCCGACGCGCACGCCAGCGCATACCAGCGCATACCAACATGCAGCGACGCGCTCGCACGTCAGCGTGCGCCGCCTCCAATTCGTTGGATTTTGCAAGAACAGGACGCCGTGACAAGTTTTTAAGAATATTTAATATTTTAATAATTCACCTTTAATGCGTGTTTCAAATGTTGATGATTATGACATATTACGGGAGTTTATTTAAATGTGCGATTTATTGCATAAACCCCGACATTTTAAATTTGGGGGAAAGTGCTAATGCATATTTTAGATTGTGCTGATAGAGCTGACAGGCAGATTTACACAGGAGGGTGCACGGTGAGTTCCTTCCATTCAAAGGGAACAAAAAAATCAAACCATTCAGCACATGAAAAATCGTTCGTATGTCTCTGAAAAGCAGAGTCTATATTTTAAAAATGTTAAAGTCTAATTTTATAAGCAGTGATTTATACAGGCGAGGAACTGTGACAATGTGTTTTAATAAAAGCCGTCTGTACTGGAGCACGTGCCGTGTTGGGAACTGGCCTGGGGCTCGGGAGGGACTGGGCTCCCATGGCGTGGGGAGCAGTGGGGGGGGGGTTGTGGGGAGCCACCCCCCCCTCAGGACCTGAGCTTCCATGCCCATCGACACTGCAGTCCCCTTCATCACGAGCCCCCTTACCATTCCCAGACATCCATTTCCTAGTCCCCCTGCTATCTCAATCCCCATGTTTTCTCTTCTCCCTTGTCCTGGATACCCCCCCCCCCCGCGTCCTGGGCCCCAGACCACCACTGCCCCTGCTACTGCCCCTGCTACTGCCCCTGCTACTGCCCCTGCTGTAACCCTGATGGCTGGCGGGGGGGGTCCCAAGACGTCACCACGTGTGAGCTGCCGTGCTTCCTTCGCTCGCAGGACGAGGGGACGCGGACCTCCTCGATGCCCCGGGGGGGAGCGGGTGGTGGTGGTGTTGGTGTTGGGGGCAGTCTGACCGCCCCCGCTGCTCCTCCAGCAGGGGGCGGCGTCAGCGTTCGAGATGAACGCGACCTCTGCACCCCTCCCCTCCACTCCCCCCCGGCCCCCACTCCTCCCCGATTGATCGGCGCGATGCATGAAAGAGGCGATTGATCGCGATCGCGGCGCGAGAGTTACGGGTGGTAAAGTCACGATCTGGTGGGGGTCAGGGGACCTGGGGGGGGGGGGTAGAGGGGGGCATGGCACCTGTGACTCGACAGGAGACCGGGAGCCGGTCCCGGACTCTAACCCTGACCCCTAACCCAGATCCTGGATCCTCAACCACGACCCACCCACACACCCCCCAATCTAAGCCCCCACCAGGGGGTGGTGATGGGAGCACAAAGCCCATCAACAACAAAGCAACCCGGAAATAGCAGCACCAGCAGCAACAAGAACATGGCGAACATATCAACACAGTAGCAACAACAAGGAGAGCAGCTGCAACAACAATAGCAGCAGCAGCAGCTGATGCAGCAGCAGCAGTAGCAGAAGCATCATCGCCCCTTCCCCCATTGTTCTCCGAGGCCGCGGAAACAGCGAGACTTCCTCAACACGCGGGGGGGGGGGGGGGGTGTGCGGGGTACGCGTGGCGTGTTGGTGGGTGCGGAATGTGCGGTGTGCAATGTGGGGGGTGGAGTGCCTGAGCTGGTGTGCGGGTGTGCGTGTGCGTGGCTGGAACGCGCATTTGCAGGTGTGTGTGTGTACACACTTCTGGCGGGAATGTGTGCATGCATGCGTGTGTCTGCTGTGCATGTGTGTCTTGAGTGTGTGGGTCCTGCCCCTTCCCTAGGTCGACTCAGCCTCAAATGAGTACCTGGGGCGATGCGTAAAACATCGCCACGAGGGAGACAAAGGCGGCCGGGCGTGGTTCTGGCCACCCACCACGTCGTGTGTGTGTGAACACCGATGTACACGCGGGTTCACGCGCGTGGGCACGCGACAAGTGGATTCTGCTGTGATGTTTTCGCGGTGGGGGCCCAGTGTGTGCTGTACTTTGCTGTAACAGTGTTGGGGAGGGGCGGGTGGGGGGGGCCGTGCCCACGACTCGGGCTGCAGCGGGGGGTGAGGGGGTGGGGGCTGCGGGTTCCGCGTCTGAATTTCGCTGAACCCCGACTCATTACCCCGCGGCGCCCGGAATCCAATTACCGCACGCGCCCCGGGCTCGGGGTGGGGGGGGGGGGGGTCCCGCGGTGGGGGGCAGAGGGGGGGGCAGTTGTGGGGGGCGGGGGTAAAGGATCGTGGGGTTGGTGGCGGGGAGGGGGGGCACTCCATTAGCTCTCAGGACGCGTACCCGCGCCTCCGCAGCCCTTAAATTGGCGAAATCAGAGAGCGGCTCCCGACTCCTCCGTCTTGGCGGGCCGCGCCACTTAAATTAGACGACGGCCAACGGTGCGACTCGTTTCAATTAAATACTCGAGGAAGATGGGAGGGGCCGGGTCCGCCCCCCACTCTCTCTATCCCTACAGCTCCCCAACACCCCCCCCCCCATCCCATTTACAGACCCCCCTCCTCTCCCCCCGCCCCCCTAAACCCGACACGTGTTTTTCCTTTTTGGAATCGCGCAGTCGGAACGCGTCCGCACGTGACCGCGCCGCTGATTTAAGCGCGGCTATTGTCATGCAAATGGAAAGCTGATAATGCCTCCCGTCAGTGATGGCCTTTGGGGGAGGGGTGTGGACCGCGCGGGGGAACTGGGAAGGAGCTGGGATCGAGAAGGCGGAGCGGACGTGCCAGTGTGGGACGTGGGGGGGGGGAGCCCCCCCCCCCCACTGTCAGACAGACAGACACATGCATCATCCCACACACAGACAGGACGTGATCTCTCACTCTCACAGAGATACATTTTGAGTTTATGTTACCCAAGTAGCCCTTGCAAACGGAGGCAGTGTTGTGTGGGTTTAGTTGATCTCCTAGTCACATCAAATACCTATAATCACCCAGGGAAGTCTGTCCTTAACGCTCGCGACGTCACTCCACATCGAACAGCCCCCCTCATTAATAATCATGACGAGGTAACGTCCTCTAAATGGACCCCCCATTATTATGACCTATAATGAGCCAAGAATGTCTGTGTGCAACGCTCGTGACGTCACTCTGTCGACCAGCCCCCCACCATTAATAATCATGATCAGGTGACGTCACTCCGCATGGAGCACCCTCCCCCATGAATAATTAGCGGCTGACGTCACTCCACATGGGCTGAGGCGCCTCCTCCTCCCTCCTCAGCGTCAACTCACAGCCCTCACGACAAAGGCAGAACCCTCACGTCACGTGGTCTCCGTCACGCTGTTGAGACATCAAAGTAAAAAGGACGTCGTGATGAACAAGGGATTAGAATTTCGATTTAAAGCTTTCGTGACTGCAGGGATTCATCTTCTTGGTTCTTTCGGTAAAGTCACGTAGAATGGAAATAATAAAATAATACAAATAAAACATAATAAAATAATTCTCACGACGTTTCGGCCACAACGCAAGCAGCCGTCCTCAGGTGGAGAGCAGGTCTGTCGAGGAGACAGAGTCTGTGTACACACCTCCATGTGTACACACGCCCCTGTACACGTGTTACCCACGTGTGCAACAACAACAGCAACAGCCGCCATTCGCCACGATGTGGCAGTGACGTGACCACGACGCTTGTGCCAGGCTAGGTGCACTTTGAGGCCACGTGTGTACATACACATCCGTACACGTGTACACACACACACACACGTCTGTGCACGTATACAGACATTCGCCATTCGTTCATAGGCTTTAAATCAGAGAGCCCACAACTGTAACAAGGATGCCCCCCCCGTGTAGCCTTGAGCAGTCCGTGAGAGCTGCTTTGAGCGCGCACCTGTGAAGGTCGGCACGGGACAGCCGAGAAGAGGCATCGCCGCGCCCGACCGCATGTGTCTCCCTCGTGGCGAGTTTGACACGTCGCACCGGCTAATCGCTTGAGTCAGAGTCGACCTGCCCAGGACCATTTCAAATCATCGGGAACGAGAATCCAACTCGGTTGGCCGGGTTTGTCGCGCACCTGCACGCGCCGCACATTACACCACCTGTGTACACAAGTGAATGCGAGTGCAAGTTGTCCAATGAACACTGTCACACGCAATGCACCACCCGTCGTGTTGATTGCAACAACCCCCCTCCCTCTGCACACCTCGGCTCCGAGAATAACGCGAGGCCTGGGTGGGGGGTGACGGAGTGGAGGGGGGGTGGGGGAGGGGGTGGGGGAGGGGGTGGGGGAGGGGGTGGGGGAGGGGGTGGGGGAGGGGGCGGGGTAGCGAGAGGGTGGGGGAAGCGCCTCTGGTCCCACCGTGACGCGCCCCCACCACGCAGGAGTGACGAGGAGGGGCGTGGCTCCAGTGATGACGCATTCCACCTGCTCCTGGGAGGGAGTGGGGAGATGAGGGTTTGGGGGTGAGAACGAGGTGGAAGGAGGAAGTGCTGGATGGGGTAAGACGGGGAGGCTCCCTGCTGCTGCTACTGCTGCTGCCTCGATTCACCTGCGCGTCAACCCGCTCCACCCCAACCACTCCGCGCGTGAACCCCCCCCATCACCCCCACCACCCCGCGCGTGAACCCCCCCCCATCACCCCCACCACCCCGCGCGTGAACCCCCCTTCACCCCCACCCCCACCACCCCGCGCGTGAACCCCCCCTTCACCCCCACCACCCCGCGCGTGAACCCCCCCCCCCCCATACACCCCCACCACCCCGCGCGTGAACCCCCCCCCTTCACCCCCACCACCCCGCGCGTGAACCCCCCCCCCCCTTCACCCCCACCCTCGTCGCTGTTGCTCAACCACGAGGCTCAGGAGGATGTTGTGAATCGCGAGCTCGCATTGGCTGAGAGCCTGCAGGTGAATTCTGCCTAGGCCTCTGATTGGTCGAGACCAGGTAGGGCTCAGGCTGGTGAGGACGGGAGATTCGAGACGACGGGGGTCGCGGGGAGAGAGGGGAGGGAGGGGGAGGGGAGAGGGGAGGGAGGGGGGAGGGGAGAGGAGAGGGAGGGTGGGATCAAAGTTTCTCCCTGCCCACGTGAACGTGGGAGTGACCGTGCCCATGCGTGAGTGTAAACGTCAGCACTGGGGAGACAAAGGCGTCCGAGCGTGAAGCTCGCCACCCCATCGTGTGCCGCGTTGGCCTCCATAAGCGCTCGTTAAGAGCACTTGCCCCAAACGCCTACTAATGCTACACGGGGGACCTTTGTCGTTGTGTGCGCGTTATCGCCTCGTCTCGTGATGGATCGCGCGCGCCAGGCGATGATGATGGGAGCCGCGCTCACACACACGTTTACACACACGTGCACACACAAAGTAAACACACACGTGCACACACAAAGTAAACACACACGTGCACACACAGAGTAAACACACACGTGCACACACAAAGTAAACACACTCACAGACAAAGATCTCCCGCATAGGTGCTCGCTAACATGCGCTTGCCCCCGCCACACGCAGACACACGCAGACACACCGACGTGCACTCACGCACACGCGCGCACTTTCACATC